ATATTATAGTTTAAGAAGATGTGGATATGTTTTTTGTATTATTATTTCAATAATCAGCTTAACGTGAGTAATTTTTAGTGCTGATTCTGATGGACATGTGAATATTTCTTTTTTACTCCTTTCAATGGAATCATTTTGTCTTAATTCAGTTTCTTAAATGATTTTTCCCTTTTTTAAAAAAAATATTAATTATTAACTGGTAGATTGTTTTAAGTAATGTACCTATACTTATTTTTCAAATGCAGTTCTCAATTAACAATTTGTTTAACTTAAAATAGAGCTCAAATTTATTTCTTAGAGGCTGTCTTTTTGTTTACTTTTGAAAGAAAAAAATTAGTAGATTTGAATTTTGAAAATGAATTTGATTTTTCAATAACTTCTATGTGACATTGTACATTTTTCTCGTTGAGTAGAGTATTTTTCGTTTTTTTTTTGTTTTTTTATAAAGTAAACAAAAGCGTGTTGTCACTTAGTTGATTTGGTACCATAAACTTTTTTCGTCTGTCTGCTGTTGATAAATTTGAAATAAATTGATTTAAAAAATAGCAAACATTTAAAAAGAAGGGAAGACCTAACTTTTCTCTTATTGTTCATTATTAACTAATAGTCTAAAAAGAGAACTAAAATATACGTGCAGGGATATTGACATTTAAAAATAAAATTAACATTCAATTAGAATTGAACTGATTGGGTATCGCTAAATAATTTCTAAAAACAACTTACCACAATGACAAAAAGACCCAAACTTGATAAAAATAAAATTTTATCGTCAAAATGTTTGTTATAAGAAAGATCAATTTTTTTTGTTTTGTTTTCTTTAAATTATCTTATTAAATTTATTAATTCCTTCTAAAAATTTTGTTTTAAAAAATATCTTGTTTTTCTTTCGTTAGCGAGTCGGCCAAAGATTATGGGAAATTTGGCGTCTTTTTTGCAGATTTAAAAAAAAAAAAACAAAAAAAACACATTGATTTAAATTCTTGGAAAAATGAAATTGTCGGATTTTAATTAAATTTTCGGGACTTACTCACAAATGAATGAAATATATAAATAATTTTAAAATCTGTTATTCCACTTAATTTTATGAAATTTCAAGAAATTAAAATTTCAGCCTCTTCATAATTTATTAGCTAAAAACAGGACACCTTGGAGAATTTAAATCCTCAATTTGTTTTTGTCAATCAGAAACATCATTTACCGAAAGTGCTCTAAATCGTAAAATCGATGAAAAAAACTGACATTAATTAGAAAAGCTCTTAATTGCTTTTAAGGACACTATTGTCTTAAGAAAAACATTTTTTTTTCTATGAATAATGAATTTTTATAAGAATTTTTTTTTTTTTTTTAAACTTAGAAAAATACTTATGTTTAAAAAATTTTTTTAAAATTCTTTTTCAAACTTTTACATAATTCTGTTAAGTGAAAACTATATTTACTAACTAAATGGAAAAGCTTAATACAAATCATCAAACATCAATATTTTTAAAAAGAATTGTTTTTGTGTTTTTTGTATGCCTAGTATAAACGTTCCATTTTTGTACGTACAGACATCCATATACAACATTTCCAGAAAATAAGAGCGATAACTATAGTAAATTTAAAGCGAACATTTCTAAAACTCGGGTTCATTAGATTACAGAGAATATTTTCCTAAAATACTTAGTACCTAAACTTATATATATATATATATATATATGTGTGTGTGCTCAGGTCACTTTCTTCAATTGTTGTACAGATAAAGTCTTCATAGAACAACATTAGATCTGCCACCATATTGTTAAAAGGTCTACACAGCTACTGTTGGGTTAAAAAAAATAATTTCTGCAATATTTTAAACTTAAAGTAAATAATATTTTTTTTAAATCGGATTAATTATACTTTGTCAGCTAATATTCCTCAAATAAAATTTCAGAAAAGTATATTTTATTTTTGGAAGATTTTTTTAAATAAAAAAAAAATTCCCTTCCACTCAATAGTTTAGAAATACAGCAAAGTATTTTGCTTATTGGAAATATTAAATTTAATCTATTAGCTTGAAATTAAACTAAAATAAAAGCTTCAAGAAATATTTTTCATTTTTTTTAAATTAATTTTACAACTTAGTCACTGCATTTGTTTTTTTTTTTTTTTTTTTTTTTTTTTTTTTTTTGTTTTTGTTTTTTGGTGGAGCACCCCATGTTACATATTTGAAAATTTTAAGATTTGCCATCAGTTTTCTAGACTATGCACCAGGTCAGTTACAAGATATTTTTTTAGGAAACGTTTGCTCCAGCTCCTATCAATGGCATGACCATGTTTACATGCTTTTTCTGCTTTTTTAGTTCTTCACAGCCTCTTTATAGGCCCTGAAGAGCAAATTAACCAAAGTCAAAATCCAGGTGACTTCATCATTTACATCTCTGATGCTTGAGATATCTCAAAAGGGAAGTGCTGAAGGAAACAGGACAATTTTTTGGCTCTAGTCACATTGTGTCAAAACTTCTATCATGGGGTAGATAAATCTTTTTTTCTGATTTTTGAGAAGTGGTATTTTCTTATTTTAAGAAATCAAGATATGTATACTATAATTTTAAATGAGGTTATTTACCAAAAATGTAAAAGTAGAAAATTACAGGAACAAAAAAATGCAGTGTCTATTTTAGTAAGGAACGGAAAGCTTTTTTTCGTAAATGAAATTGGCAAGTAAAGTTGAAACTTTACTCAATTCTGTTACCTTTTCTACATAACCACATTAGCTTCACTTTTTACCTTTTCTTACTCATGCATAACCACTCTACTTTGAGTGGATCTTTTGCTTTGCATTGGGTGAACAATAGTATATAATAATAAAAAAAAATAAATCATAGAACAACAATCAAGCAATGTATAGAAATATCTGTGTATCCATTTGGGTCTTACACACACACACATATATATATATATATATATATATATATATATATATATATATATAATTCATCAAGTCTAGAAGAATCTTCACCAGAATGCAGAAAGCACTGGACGGCCATTTCATCCTGTATTTGGGACTCATCAGCAGTGAACATCCACTACCGAGAATCGAACCTGAACCGTTACGACCTGACACAAACGTAATACCAACTGTATGACAAGGCCTCAGTGACAAAGATGTAACTAATTAGTCTCAGTACAGCACTGCTCTTCAGAAATTCCATGGTGTATCTCATCCAAGTTTCCCTAACCATTCCATCATAGCTGATCATAAAAACATGATCCACTTCAGGCTTCCCATCAATTCAAGGAGAGCCCATCTGGTTGCAGAAAAAGCAGGACACGTCCTTGTCCGAGAGAGAATCCAGTACAATCATTGGATAAAACAGACTACAGGCTCATATCTTCCAGAGGTTCAAGGATTTCTTCAACAGAATTACCAATGAAGAAGACCAAAGAAGGATCCAAAATGACCTGGATAAATCCTACAGACATGAATTCGATGTAGTCAAGGCCCACCAAGTACAAAAATTAAACAGATTGAGAAAGATCAGAAGGTGACGCACAAGGTCCATTACCCATCAGCAGAAGCAGTAATCAACATCAGCTCAGTGCCTCTGAGGAATCAGTATTAAATAAGGGTCTCAACTTCACCACAACCATCCGGCAAGTGCCATACTTGGACATCATTGCCAGAGTTGTGGAGGTGGCCTTAAACTTCCCTTAGGCTCAGGCGGATGAACTAAGATAGAAGGTGAGACAGACCTTGGAGAGGCTGGCAATCGGATCCCTACAATAGAACAAAGAAATCATCATACTACCGGCTGACAAAGGCAATGCAACTGTAGTGATGGACAAATCAGATTATACAAGAAAGCTGGAAGACCTCATCAGTAATGGTAGCTACAGCAAAGTGAAAAAGGATCCTACAATGAAAATGGAATGCAAACTGTCACAGATACTAATCAAAAACAAGGATCACTTCGCACCTAAGACATATAGGCAGTTATCGCAACATTACACCAAGCTACCTCCCATATACAGTCTCCCTAAGATTCACAAAGACTGTATTCTGCTCGGGCCAATTCTTAGTTGCTAAGGCTGTGTGTGCCACCCTCTGAGTCACTTCCTTGTAGATATAATTGACCCATTAACACTGGTTCAAAATATATTTTTTTCAGTTTTTTAATCAACAATTCAAGAGGAGAAAGAGATTAAGATTTTACAAGGATTTGAGCCTTCGATTTTTTTATGAATAAGATCATCAGAAAATGTAACATCTAGTTCTCATTGTTAAAAAAAAAAAAAAATAGGAATTTTGCAATTCAGATTTCGATGTCTCTGATGCCTCTTTTCGTATGAAAATGATAACTTTTAAACTCTGATCAAAATTTGAGTCTGGAAAAGCTGAAAAGATTGTGTACTCTAATGCCTTTTCATCTTCACCCAAATTTGATTTTTTTTTTTTTTTTTTTTTCACACTGAATTCAAAAACAGCCAATTTTTGTATTTCCTTGCATATAATACGAGAAATTTTGAATGTCTTTCATCAGAATAACAGGAAATTGATGAAAAAAAATTAATAAAGGAAACATAAAAGATCTGTTATGTTTTGATAACATTAATATTACAACAAAGCATCTTTCTCCCCTTGACAATTTGAAAATAAGTTTTGAAATGGAGAAGAAACGTACAATAGTTTTTTTTTTCTTTAATATTGTGAAAACTTAAATATTTTAATTAAATATATAGTACGACCTTTAAAAAAATTTCCATGGGATGGCTGTACTACAGGGTTGTATTATAGTCAAGGATGTAATTTATTCCCTGTTTTAGTTTCAAAAACTTGAGAATATATTTTACACAAGAGAATATGGTCATGTCAAGTGTGAACAACTTTTAATGTTGAAATTTAACATGTTTCTGTTGTCATTTATCTAAATTAAGCATCTTTTTAGTGCCCAGTGTAGAATTCCTCCTATTTTAACTTTACAATAAAACTGTACTTTTCATTTTCAGTTGATTTTTCGTGTTAATCTTTTTTCACAACGATGGAATTAGACGAAAGTTCAATTCAAGAGAGGACTGCTCTCACAACAACGTAAGTTACACTTCATTTTTTTTCTTTAAAATTACAAATGCTTTATATTGCAAACTTGGATTTGCTTTGTCTCCACAAAAAATCTTTAGGCCAGAGAATTTGGTAACAAATATGTTGTGCATGTTCCAAATACGTGTAGTTATCTTGCAAAAAGAGTTTCTCAACAAGGTGATAAAGCCACTAAGACAGACAGATGTTTACCAAGAATGAATGACAATAGTGAAGTAAACTTAGAAAATGTCACTGAATTTGGAAGAGAGTTCTATAAAAAAAAATAATAAAAAAAGTGAGAAAAAAATCTATTAGAATAGAACTTATGGTTACAAATAATTCTATATGAAAAATTGATTCTTGCCCAAATCTATTCTGTCAATAACCTTGCTTTAATTCCTGACAAACCCATTTTCCTTTGCATTTATAGTGTAGAATTAAAAAGTATTATTATGAGGAAACAATGAGACAAAATAATTATACCGACTTCATGTCAGTAAGATTTACATTCATTCCTAATGATTCTTTGTGCTTCTCACTGCACAACATTAAGAAACAATAGTCCTGAGTATGATAATAAACTATATCTGGCAGTAAGAACTTTGAAACATTGGATGTTTTCAGGAACATGGAACTACCTCTTAAATGCTGTTGTTTCCAGGTCCATCCTGACCCAGGGTGGTAGCACCTGTTAGGGTCCTAGCTATGGGTAAATAGTGAACCACCAAGCAAAAGCAAAACACTATGAAAATACTAGCAATACATTTTTATACAAAAAAAGATTGCCAGCAATACATATTCATAGGAGAGTTACCAAAAATACATTCATCTGTAGTTGAAGGCATACAATTTTGTTAAAAATGTTTAGATTTTGGCTTTAAATAACTCATAGAAGTTGATATGCCACTAAACAAAATCCATCAATCAACCAGCCAATTAAGAAACAAAATATAAGTTGAAATCATTTTAGCACACACACACAAACCTACCAGATTCCATCTAAAACATACTAGTAGAAAATTATAGAGAAAGAAAAAATAATGGCAGCCCTAATAATAAAAATGAAAAAACAACACTCAATAATATTAACTATGAACACAACCACTGGCTGTGTTTGGAAAATAAAACATCCCTATAACTCTAGAGACAAACATAACACAACATTCAATTAAAAGTAAAAATAAGATAATTATTGATAATGGTTAAAAGTATAGGTGAAAGCACTTGGACGTGCAGAACTTTTGGACAGTTTTTACACACTTTGGGTCTAAAAAAGAAAACACTTGTACAAATACAAGAAAAATTAAATAAAAAGCTTAATCACAATATTGTGTCAGTCGTGTTTAATAAAACATGTATAAAAGAGGGAGTGCTGCCTAAATGCATTTTATTTTTTATATATATATATATATATATAAAACAGCAAACTGGAGTTATGATGTACAAAACAAAAAGAAAGCATTCTAACCTGCAAAAAAGTCAATTTGCAGCATGATGTAACAATAGTTCTCAATATTTATGCTTTTTAGAACTTAGATATTTTTATTTTTGCAGGACAAAGATATTTTTAAGATATCTCATCGGCCAATTCCACTTGGAACTGGGTGATGAGATATTTTCTGATAGATTTTGAATATATTATATATATATATATATATATATATATATATATATATATATATATATATATATATATATATATAAAACTATTCAGCTCGGTCGCAATCTGTCAATTCACACTGACAATCTGCCCAATGCATTCCTCATTTAATTTGTTGAAAGCACCTAGATGAGCGAATGATTGAAAATACCAGGTGTTATAAGCTTGGATGTGTGGGTGGTGTGATGGATATTGGCATATAATTGTTAATTGGAGAGCCAAGTTTCAATTCCAGACAAATTCGTTATATTCACTTACATGCAAATACACTTGGGGAAAGGTAGTAATCCACCTGTTCTCCCTCAGTTATGGGTTAACTAGTAAAACTTGTATCACTAAACCATTAAATTCTCCCCCTCCTACACTCACCCACCAAAAAATTATATCTAAAAATATTTTCTGGCTTTAAATAACCTGCAATATGTTGTAAGAAAACAAATCAGTCAATTGTATGTCTATGGATGCAATTTTTTTTTTCCAAATGAATTTAATAACAGACCTCTGCTCCATATTTATATGAATTGACTGGAAAATATTTTTTGCTCATGGAAATGACTAGTGTTGAGTACAGTTTATCTAGTGTTCTGGATGCAAATGTTCAAATGAGCAATATTCCTTAGTTTCCCAGTTCAGACCTTCACAGCTAGTATTTCTCTCAATACCCCCCCCAACCCACGGTCCATGTTTGCAATGTCAAATCATCCTCCTTCCCTTCATATTTCTTTGGCACACACACCACATTTTTTCCTTCTACATCCTTGCAACGACCTCATTCAATAATCCTCTACCTTGGATGGTTCTGGGACCTTGAATTGGGTGAATAAGAAGAAGAAGAAAAAAACAACATTCATTGCACAGAGTAAAAGTGATCGTTTATTCTTTGTGTAGACCAACAAGGGAGACAACTTTTTTTTAAAATCAAAACTATAATGTAATGAACAGTAAAAAATAGCTCGGCCCTGGACTGACATAACTTGCTTACCTTCAATATTTCCTTTCCATACTCAAGGCTGATCCACTCCCAAAACAATCATTGAAGTCATAATTTTGGCTTTCCATTGATCAAATTTCCAACATCATCATTCCATCTAACACCTTGTTAAAATATGTTTGAGAGTTTTCTCTTCTAATTTAAGGCATGAACCTTTTCAAATAATTAATTCTCAAACTTTTTTTCTTACTAATTTATCAGTATAGATGAAATGTGAAACATTGAAATTTTCTTAATCTTCTCTTAATGTTTGATGCTAAATTAATGATTCATATTCCTATTTGTTTCATTTCAGTAATTTATCACAGATGTTATCCCCAGGGAAGCCGAAGCAGCCTTCCTTGTTCAAAACACCTTCAACTCGGGTTAATCTTCAGAAATGTATCCTTAATTGATGGCAGTTTTTATACCCTTTTTTTTTTCTCTCACAATTTATTTTATTGTATTAATCTGATGTATAATAAAATTCAGTACTTATCAATGTTGACTCTTTCATAATTTTGTCAGTCATTGCTCTTCTGTATTTACAAAAATTCTGTAAAGTAATAATTGTCAGAATTACAAAACTTACTGTCAGCATCAATAAGTATTGATCTTTTATTATATCTGATTCAATAATTGTTAGTCATCAAATATCGGACCCTTTATTGGCAGAAATTCTATTCACCTTCATATATGTTAAATTATGTAATTTTTACATATAATAATAACTAGTTATTATTTTTTATATGTATATATTGTTGTGTGTCTGAAAATTTCAAGATTTTTTTTTTTTTTTTTTTTTTTTGGGGAGGGTGTTAATTTTCATTTCAACCACTTAAAATGAAGCAAATTGTTTTGTTTTTCTACTATACATTTTGTTCTTGTGAATTTTTTTTTTTTCTTTTTTTTTTTTTTTTTTTTTGATGCTGGAAATTTATGAAATTTTATTTACCATTTTATTCACATACACACTTAGAAGTTCTACCCAAAAGTGTAGGCAATATTTGAATAGGTCAGATCAACTTGCACAGCATTACTTATCTCTTGCCAGATAATGTAAAAATTTTCTCTCCCCACTCTCAAAACAAAAATCAATTTGATGCTTTTAAGTTCTCTAAACGTTTGGGTGGTACCATGGTGGGTGTTTAGATATATCAAGCATTCTTCCAGTCCCAAAGGTCTTTTCTCTATCAGAAACTCTGTAAAATAAATTTTTGTAATGTCTTTGATTTTCTAAAAAGTCCTTAACTAATGTCTGTCCAGCTATTCAGCTTTTAGATGAAGCAGCAGGCCTTCCAGTTAGTTCTGATTCGCCAACATTTCAACAGCGTTCCATTCGCAGTCAACGAAACAGCCATTGTGAGTAGCACAAGTACATATTGTCTCTCTTTTATTTTGTCAACATGAGCTCTAGGTCGGATAAGTTTCATCAAACTGTTTTCCAAAATTTAAAACCTTATTGTCTGTGTTTTTTTTTTTTTTTTTTCTTTATTAATGACACAAAAGATATATTTCCTATAATTCCAGCAAATTGCAGAATTAGTCTTATTCTCTTTTCTGTTCAAAATAGAAGAAACGCCTTTTACAAAGAATGCTTTTATCTTAGACGGCAAAGAAATCTTCTCGCTAGTATTACGTAATTGTTGAATATTTATTTTAATACTACTTCAAACCCAATATACATGATAAATTCTATGTGGACTATTTGCCCAAAGTTACTTTGCTGCTCACAGATCCACTATTGATTCTGTTGGAGAAACATTCGGCAAGGTCGGAAGATTTGATCCTTTTTGCAACAGTCTACACTTGCAACGTAAAAGTTATAAAGGTACTGATAAGAAATAACGTAAAGAGTTTTTTGAAAAAAACAAGAAAAAATTACATTATTTTTAGCAACTTTACAGACGAAATTGCAGAGTTGCACTAAACAATTTTAACTTTTAGATTCTAAAAATAAAACCAGGAAATAAAACAAATGTTTAATATTTTTGCTAACCCAAAACCCCTTACTCCATTCCATACACAATGGAGTTGTTCATTCATTGCATCAAGTTGTTACCCTTTTTTTTTTCTTTTATTTTTTTTTTTTTTTTTTTTTTTTTTTTTTTTTTTTTTTTTTTTTTTTACCTCCTGTTCTCTGAAAAATATGCATGCAGACCTAGTACTATCAGCTTTATTTACAGGCAAATACTTCAGGAAATGACAACCTCATGAAGTCTAGGGTTGCCAATTAGTCACTTAGATTTTAATCGTGAATGAATGATGATTTTATCATTAAAAAAATATTTAAATCATCAGTTGATTCTATTCACTAGTCTCCAATGAAACATCAGTTGATAATGATCACCATTTAAGGGTTAATGCACAAAATTTGTAACATTTTATTTGGCCAGAATGGTTTGCAATCGATAATTTTCCCTAAGTTTTACCCCCAGTTATTCAATAGATAAGAAATCACATTTTTTAGGGTCTTGTATTTAAAGAGAGCCAACATAGTTTTTGCAATGAGAAGCCAAACCTTTAACAGATCCTACTTTCTTGATCTTTTCATGAATTCATTTGCAAAAATGTAACAGATTTTTTTTTTTTTTTTTCAAAAATGCTTCCAAAATTTTTCTTCCCATTGGTAATCTTTCTTTTTGCTTTTAGTAACTCCAAAAAGTGGATCTGTATTCCGAGGTGGATCCAGATTCCCAAGTTCTATCCCCAAGCGATCAACTCCCTACAATCCTAATCAGGTAAGGACTTAAATGAAAACTTACAAACTTCTTGATTCTTTCTTGCTTTCTGTTGTAGACTAATTCCTAAGCATAAAGAATGTTGATTATCATTCGATGCTCCCTCTATTGTTGTTTTGGTTAAGCTTAGGACATAATTTGGGGCACCTACTGTAGTGTGATTGATTATCAAATTTTCATCTCAAAAACACACACACACACACACACTTTATTACCAATGACTTACTCTCATTTGTTAACTGAGCACTATGAGAGAAGGGAATTTTAAAAGCACCTGCTTCTCCTGCTTATAATCTCATCACTCTTCAGTTATAAATTGAGCACTATGGCTGCTGATTTGGCATTTATATACATCGCATATATAATGTTAAGATTTCCTTTCTCTGCTGTGCACTGATATCTTAGGGGTAGAGTCTCTGACTGATGCCAAATCAATTGAGTTTTTTTCCCAGTTTGAAGCAATCAGATGTATAGCCACACTGAGTAGCTGTGATACAGCAAAACAAGCGTCTATGTGGATTATATATATATATATATATATAATTTCTCATTGGATACCTCACTACTTGGGCCTTGTGCCAAAATAAGTCTATTAAATATTGTTCTATTTTATTTTAATTATACTCTAATAAAAAAAAAAAATGCCTCTAAATAGATCTTTCTTGAGAAAATAGAATTTTTTTTCTTAAAATTGTATCAAAATGTAAAATAATGTTTATAAAACTTTAAAATTTTCATTTGCTTTATGCCCTACTTTATAGCCAATGCTTTGTTTTTTTTTTTTTTTTTTTTTTTTTTTTTCCTTGAAAGCTTTTTGATACAATGACTGACAATTGAGCAAAACTCTCATCTCTCACTCGCTACCCAGGTATGCAGGTATTTCAAGTACCTCTTGGAGTTGAACGTCTTGTATAGTTTATTATTCCTTGGAATGTCAAAAGAAAAGGAATTATCTTTGAAAAGGGAGTTGCAAAAACTTGACTCTAGTGCAAACCGGACATATCAATACAAAAATTTAATATTAACTCAACCTTTGAACTTAAACTGAAATATCCACCATTAAACAAATCATGCATTAAATAACCTTCGAAGTTGAAATGCCTTTTTAAAAACAAAATTTAAAGAAAAATGCCTCACTACTGTAAAAGCCCGAGTCAGTTATTGTTCAGTATTATTCCATCTTGGCAGTAGTGCTCTTTTGTCCAGCAATACATATTGAGAGAGTGGCCCCTTTTTTTTATCAGGGGCATGGGTAAATAAATTTATGCATCTGTTAGCTTTTGTTTCTGATTTGGAGTTTACCTTAACAGTCAGCTGTGCATAATGCTTATTTTTGTTTGGTCAGAATTAAGCTTTTCAGTTTTGTTTTTTTTTTTCACCTCATCTGTTCAGAAATGTTTTGGTTTGACAAATTTCAACAAACCATTCAATATTTTAATGTTCTCGTCACAAACACTTGACTATCTTACACTTATCGACCAAATATCTTGTTTTCTTTTAGTTTTAAATTTGCTATTTCAAAGAACTTTTTTCTTTTCTTTTTTCTTTTCCAGTCTTTTAATGAAACGCTGTTCCAGACACCAGTGTCTGCTGTTGGGACCAGCCTTGTGGCAAGTTTCTTTTAATCCTGTATATCTTTGTAAATTTATGTGAGGATGTGTGAATTTGAATACTGTTGTAGACTTGTGTGTGTTAAATATATTGTGATTGATTTTTTTTTTTTTTTTTTTTTTTTTTTTTTTTTTTAACCCATTTCATCATAAATATCAGCCCTTCTTTCATTGTCACAATGAGGTCAAGAGTAGACAGGTAAAATGAAGCCAAACATACTTTATATTCTCTGTAAGATTCTGTGAGGAAATAATTTCCTTATTACAAAAATATTTTTTCTTTTCTGTCATACCTGATGAGCTCTCAGGGTATACGAAGATGGTCCAAGTCTTGTATGATACTAATTTATTCAAAATTCATATTTAGTCAACTGGCTCAAAAACTTTATCAGTTGATAAAATGTTTCAATAAATACCTTTATTTTTTTTAAGGTTAAATCTTTGTCTCTCAGTCTCAAAACATATTGCTTTCTTTAGTTTTTTTTTTTTTTTTTTTATCTCCTAATTTTATTTTTCATCCTAAATTAACACATATTGCTAGAAAGGCAAAATTGACTTTGTAAAGTAAATTTCTCTGTTCTGTATTTCAGGACAAAAATTTTGATGATGTCACAACTACAAATGTTGGATTGCTTCTTGAGGATGAACCAGAATTGGCAGGTAATTCTCTAATCTTTCTTAGTTTCCTTTTTGTTTCAAAGAAACTTAACAATTTCTCTAAAGAAAATGCTTTGAAGTTCCATCTTCAAAAAATTGCTGTTTTGGATGTTGTATAAAATATCTTTTCATGGAAAAAAAGGGCATCCTTATCTTAAAAAAAAATTTTATTTTTAATTGTTGAATCTTATTTTGAAGAACAATGTAAAAATTTACTCTTTTACTATTTCCATAATTTCTATAAATTAGAACTGATCTTTTTTTATCTCATGATAAAATGCATAGAATTTTTCTTAAAACGCAACAAAAGATAAACTCAATGAAAATAGTTTGCTTTCAATCACTAATTTTAAGAAACATCTAAATTAATGTACATTTAGGCATTTTTTTTAATGTCTTTAGGATTGTATTTAATTCTGCTGATAAGATATTTCACATCAAGGTTTTCTTTTTTCTTGCCTAACATTCTCATTTACTTAAAAATGTCCCCCCCCGCCCCCAACATGCAGCAAATGCCAATTTCCCTTCACACATACTTATAGACAGTAAAGAACTTAACTAAACTTGATCAAGACATTGTCAGATATATAACATAAAAGACCTCTTCAAAACCACAGAACTCAACATTTTAAACTTTCTAAAAGAAATAAATCTTTATATCAAAAGTTAAACAAAGAAGGCTACCACTCACATAATACAAATAACAACCCTACCCCCAAACGTCCACTTTTCCTTTGAAGCAGGACAAAATGCAAATACAACTTAAATTGGCCACTAGTGGTCAAAGAACCATTAAATAGACAAACCAAACAAAATGTGTGCCTTATTATAAGACTTATTTCCCTTTTTGATATGATGCCTTCTGCTTATATTTGGAATTAAATTTCCATTGATTAGCCATCTGCTAAAATATACAAACGCAGCAGGTACAATTTTTGAAACATCTGACACTTGTTTCTATTATTTTGAACATTTTATTTGAAGACCTCAAAATGATTCTTGTTGTTACTCGGACACATATAAGCATAACACCTATTAAGTTTTTCCAGTCCTGAAAAGTAAACTATGTAAATCTATCCAGATAAGACAGAAGTGTTATTTAATTTTGTCATTGATTACTAATGAAAAATATTTTAGTTCTTTTATTTCTGACTAATATTTCCTTCATCCTATTTTGTTGTTATTTTTTTTTGTTGTTGTTTTGTTTTTTCCCACCTAGATTATTCCTCACTTTGTAATTATGCTGTAGAAGAAATGTATCTTCTACAGCATAATTAAAAGTGAGGAATATCTTCAAATGATTTGAACGCTTGTCTCTTTTTTATTACATTAGGATCCTGTCTTATTGTGACACTATCTTCCCAATTAGACCCACAAAATCTAACCAGCAGGAATCCTTTTAAATCTAACCAAATAATTTTTTTTTCTATTTCCATTATACCACAATATTTATCCATACTAGTAGTATTAGACTTAAATATACAGGCATGTGGACAAGTGATTATAACAATCAAATTCTAGCCATAAGGCCCAAGTTTGAAAGTGATTTCTTGATGTTATTGGCTTGGGATGGCAATCCCAGCAGGAAACTCTTTTTGTAAAATGTCTAAAACCCACAATGCAAGTAGACCCAAGCCTTGTAAGTGAAATTGGATAGACACAACTATTCTGGGGCCATTGATGGTTGTACTGGCACAAAAGTTATCAGTCATTTGACCGAGGGTTTGAACATATGGGCCTTGTTCAAATTATTGATCTTGCCAGTTCTCTCACGTATATGAAGATGAAACACATCGGCAAGAAAACAAAGAATCTTAGTTTTTTGCTGATGTGTTTCATCTTCCGACTTTTTCAAGGCAAAAATGGAATAGAAATGTTTTTGTTATAGTTACATTAAAAAATCCAAATTTAAAAAAGTATAAATGAAATTTACATTAACCGGAAAGAGGCTTATGCAGCAGCATCTCTCTTTTTTAAATTTGGATTTTGTAATTTCCCTATAACAACAAAAACATTTTGATTCCATTTTTACTTTGAAAAGTCAAAAGGCAAAAACAATGTTACAAAAAACTAAGTTATTTTTTCATCTTATACCAATTTGTCTTGTCTACAGAATTGATCTGGGAATTTCCATTATATATATATATATATATATATATATATATATATATATATATATATATATGGTCTATTCAGATTAATTGCAGTATAAACTGCACATGGACACTGGGTGTTTTGTTCAAACACAAATGTGCCTGAGCAGGCATCTGCTGGAGGGGTTTTTCTAGCCATCCTAGCAGGCATATGTGCTCAGAAATTAAGTCTTTAAAATGTCTTCAATGAAGTATTGTCATGAAATATAGTAATTTGAATGTTGTTGGAAAGTCTGGTTGGGTCAGCAGTCTGTGCACTTGCACATGTGAAAGAAAGAGCTGAACCCTAACTCTGGTTCAATGTTGCCATGGAAATTTCACTGGTATATAATATTCCAGGGATGTTAATTCCTGCAAATATTGTGGGGAAATCTGGCTAATGATGCAAGAAGTTTTTCAATTTCCCATGTAGAACTTTCTGGTTAAAAAGTCAAATGCAAGAAAAATAAAGTGACAATTACCATTTTTCCACAGCCATCTATTATTATGGACACTAACATGTGGCTTGGATATATTGGAGTCTGCAAGACAAGATCAGATTCTGGGCCTAGTCTGCTGTTGTTCATTTTCTAATCCATCCCCACCCTCTTTCCAGGAAAGACACTCATTTCTTCTACCTTTAGTGATGAGTTAAATAGCAATGTAGTCTGATATCCCTGGCCTTGGGTGGCAATCAGTTTAACAGAAGAGCAACTCTGCATTTCAAACTGAATAAGACAGTTGGAAACCACTACCATCTTCCTCAAGAAGTCATGGCAATTCACAGATATTGAATAAAAGGAATCTGTGGATAGCCATGATCTCTTCTGCAATTGGTTATCCTTTGTCATGACATTTTTTATCATCTTTTGGCTTTTATATTAAAAATTTCTAACTCTATTACTTGGCTCCTTACCACTGTACTAGACCTTCCAGACAGCACCTCCAAGGAGGGTGAAGTCTATTCAGTAATGGAGGATTGAGAGAGGGATTTTCTCTCAATCTCATTCACTCACACACACTCATTTTACTTCAGCAAACCAGCTCTAAAAATTAAATGAACAAAAATATCTCACAATTTTTGTTTATTTAAATATAATTTATTTAAACTCCCCCAGTTTGAAGGATTTTGAACATTTTTAAAATTAATATTTTTACAATATTACAAAAAATATATATTATTAATAGCTTTTTACTCCTTAAACATATTTTGCAAAGTAGTTTCAAATTAATAAGTTGTGAAGTAAGTTTTGTTGATTTAGGCCAACTGTGGAATGGTGAAACTCTTGTGTTAAGACCTTTCTTGAAAACTGAATTTTTTGTAGTTTGTAGTGTGTCTGCTAAGAACTTCAATGTTGGCTAAATATTCTTATTTTGAAATGCCTTTCAGCCTGCACAGGGCTTTACAGTGATTTCATGGAAGCCTATCGAACCTTTTCCAGTCCACAGAAAGTCTTTGAGCTTCTCGATCAATATGACAGCATCTGTGAGGAGCAACTACAACTAATGAAGAAATTGGTCATGAGGACAGCCCCAAACCAGCATAAGTAAGTTATGGATTTGGCTTGGAAGATCCGTCCTATGCAGTAATAATTCTCTCAACAATGTCTTTATATTTGTTTTCACCTCACCCACACTAAAATACGCATGAATATATGTGCACCATTAAAACACATATGCGCATTATATAACCTGCGTTTATGTTCTGCTGTAAAAAATCTGATATCTAAAATATCTATTGAATCCTGACCTGATTCAATATTTCAATCTGGAATTAAGCAGTTGCTATCTGCTTGATCAACAGAGTAAAATATACTTGTAAATATCAACAGAATGCACAGCTACTACACTGATCCAAGGCAATCCACCAACTCATTTTCAAATAACATAGTAAATTCTGCTTATTCTGTAGCCTTCAATTTTTACCCCTTTGAATATTTTTACATAGGGTGCGGGAGATATACGATCTTGATATATCAAACTGATGATGGGTAGTCGAATAAGAAAATGGTGGGGGGGGAATATTCTGTAATGGAGTTTGTTCCTCAAATGGACTAAACGTTCTTATTGATTGAATTGTATGTATGTTGGGGGCAAAAACATTGGCTATAGTAGGTACTTCCACAAAATGTAAACAAAAAGAGCATAGCATGATGAAAAAGATGCCGAACTTGACAAAAACAAAATTTTATTGTCTAATGTTTATATTATTATTATTATTAAAAGAGAAAAGATCAAAGTATTTTTGGGGTATTTTTTTACATTTTTTAATTGTTCCTAGCGCGTCCAAAATTTTCGTTAAAAATCTTGTTTTTTGTTGTTTTTTTTGTTTTGTTTTTTTTATCAAAAAAAAAAAAGAACAGATAATCCATCATTTTCAGTCACTTTTTTTCCATTTTATAAAAAAGATGAAAATCTGACTTTGATATTCTTTTAAAAATCAATTATCATTTTTTCAAAACTTATTTTAATAGAATCAGAAATTATAATGTTTATTTAAAATATTTTGGACCAAGCTTAACTTAGCTTCTGCACCGAAAAAATGTAATTTGAAAATAAAACAAGCAAACAAACCTTTCACATCTTTTGACAGGTGACGAAAGACATTTTCATGATGTTTAGATAACTTACGGGAGGATAATTCTTTCTACGGATGGAAGGAAGTAAAATTGTTTAGATTTAAGTGAACAAATTATTTACCTTGTTACCCTTTAAGGAAAACTTTCAGTGCTCTAAATTTTTTTTTTTTTTTTTTTTTTTTTTTTTACTTAGCTTTCATTTTTACGTTTATTTATGCTTTATGGAAAATATAAAGAAATTAAAAAATAAGACTGTTAAGAGTGAGATTAAATTTCATAAGAAAAAAGGTATCTAATTAATTTATAGGTACCTTTCTTATGAAATTTTATCAGAAAGTGTACATAAAATACTAAATTTTATGTACATTTATTTCATTTTACTGTGTTATTTGTATTTCCATTCATTTTATTATTAATTTTGATATTTCATTTATGGAAAAATGTCATAACTGAGATTAATAAAAAAAAGATCATATAAATTAAAGTTTAGCAGTAGTTAAATTTCATAAGATGATACTGTTACTTGTAGGTACCCTTCTCAGTTGAAATTGAAAAATCAAATTAACTTCTCCATACGTGTTTACAAAAAAGTAAAGGGCTTAACAGCGGAGAACAATGCTGAACTCAAATAATGCAACTAAATTGTATTCTGGTTGGTCTTCTGTACTTTATAATTACTGCCCAATTATAAACACAAAAATTACATTTCTTAATTACTGCGGATATTCTGATTAGTCCAAATGATACAATTGTCAAAGCGCTAGACAATCTCAATAAGGACATTTTGAAAGGTTGATGTTGCTTTTAACTTTTAATGTTATAATATTTTTAAAAAAAACTTAAAATGTAAAAAATCTATTATAATTAAAGAAATAAATAAATAATTGTATTAAAAATTCAATTTTCATTGAAAAAATTTTTTTGCTTTCAGAAAATATTATCCATATTCATAAAAACAAATAAAAGCAAATAAAATTTTGAAATTAAAATATATTTGTTTTATTGAGTTTTGTATGTTACAATTCACAGCTGATTTTCAGGTACTGCAGCTCCAATAAAAAAAAAAAAAAAAAAAATGATTTGCATTCTTCAAAGCCTTGAGCTTTTAACTATTGTAATCACTAAGGTTGATGCACTCGAATTTCTAGAGTTTTTCATAAAATTAGTTATGGGGGTGTTAATAAATATAAAAAAAAAATATGACTTTAATAAAAAAAAACATATTTATAATAATTTCGATCATCTGAAAGTTGCATTAACATCTGACAATTATTTTTGCAAGATTTTCCAAATTAATGTAATACAAAAAAAACGTGCTAAAAATGATCTGTCATTTTACTAGCCCCTATTGGTACAAAGAGAAACAAGGTGTTTTTTATTCAAAATTTAGAATGTTCGAAAAAGAAGGAAAAATTTTTTTAAATAATTAAAAAAAACTTTGGTCTTTCCTCTTCATAATAACATAAGCATTTAGACGTTAAAGTTTTTCCATAAAGTTTGGCGCCTTTTTCATCAGACTATGCTTTTTTTTTTTTTTTTTTTTTTTTTTTTTTTTAGGATTTCGTGGAGTTACCCAGGCTATAGTTATACATTGAGAGTAATGCTAAGGATGCTAAACTTCATTCATCTTCCTAATGCTTTATATAATATATATATATATATATATATATATATATATATATATATATTGTGTGTGTGTTCTCTCTCTCTCCACTCCACTGGGTGTTGGTTAGATCCAGTGACTAGACCCCAGAGATTTTTGTTTCAATACAAATTCTACAGAAGTGGTGAACCAAAAAAAACTTGTGGGGAAATAACTGAGACATCTGGAAGAGGTATGGCATGTGGAACTAGAACAATCTACTACAGTGGATAAAATCAAGTGTTTGGTTTGAAATTCCTATCACCTGAAGGCCAGAGCATACAACAGTTGAAAAGTTGTGAATATGGCAATGAAGATGAGGATAACAGTCTAAATAATATATATATATATATATATATATATATATATATATATATATATATATATATAATTTAAAATTAGATCAGTTGATTCCTTGGTTTCAACCTTACAGTATATTTATATCAACTGACCACCCAACACTATTTTATGTAAAAAAAGAAAAATAGATGCTATATTATTTTAAAAACTAAATAAGCAAACGCATGGTGTTGAGTATGAAAGAGAGGCCAGAGGAGGATATGGAGAAAAATGGGGAGTAGGAGGAGAAAAAACATGGGTATTATAAAGGTATTTGGTGTGGAGTTAATTCAAATGTACATACTTTTTAACCAGCCTCATGAGCTTAAGAGGATTTTATTTATTTATTTAATTTTTTTTTTTTATATGGATGCTATGGCTCATAACTTTAGGTCTCTGGTTCAAAAGGTTTTTGGGATTCAGAAATATATAATATATATATATATATATATATATTTAATCCAATGTCTCTAGTCATACATCTTAGCTGACTTCATTCCATTACCCAATAGGCTGCAAGTATTCATTCAAACAAGTTTGATTAAAAAAGAACTGGTGAACCAATTGATACTGTCCTAACACTTTGCTTATAAACTCATTATTAATAAGAGAATCCCTTTCCTTGATATCTTAGTCAACATCAACAGCCATAACTTTACCACCCCTTTTTATAAAAAAAAAAAACTACCAACAGAAATTCATGTCTATTTAAGTATAAAAAAAAAATGTGAATATCTCAGATACAAAATAGTCTTTCTAAAAAGGACAGAAATAATCTCTTTTGACACATTATTCTACAAGGAATTAAGCCAAAATTTAAACAAACCTTAATCCACAATAACTTCCCTGACCACCTCATTCAGAACAAATATTTCTGACCTTGATAAAATTTAGAAAAATAATACAAGGCATCACTCTGATGCAAACAAAAATAAACATACCATTCACTTATTCTATCAAAACCAAATTCGCCCTAATTATAAACGGTGTGTGAAAGCAATTCAAAATATCATTTGCTGATAGATATCACTCAATGATCCTGACAAAAACACCTTAGATTTTTATTTATTATAAAAAGTTTAAAATATGTAATTTAATTATCAACAACACAGAACCTCAAAAATCCACCATAAGAAAAAAAAAATTTGTTTATGAATTCTGATATCCTTTGAGAGATTACATCTCCAATATTAATAATCAAAAAGTAGCATTAAATTTTTACATTAGGTACACATACACCACACTCGCTTGTAAGTTGACTTGTCACCTGTTGAAACTCCATGAGTATATCATCAAACACATCACAATCATAATACAATTATCAACATAAGACAAATATTAGTAGGTAATAACTCTATATATAATACTCTACAGCAATCAATGCAAGGAAAAACTCAAAACCCTAGAAGCTATGCAAAATAAACTGATAGCAAAGAAGCATGAAAAATAATGCTTCTTAAACGCTGTCATATAATTATAATTTCTTTCTCACATATATATATATATATATATATATATATATATATATATATATATATATATATATATATATATATATATATGTGTGTGTGTTTTTGTTCACGCAAACACACCTCTAGACTTGTTGGGAAAAGTATTTTTAAGCTAGTTTTAGTTGCTGTTCAGATAAATTTGTTATTACCTCCCTTGAATCCTAACATTATCTCCCTTGAATTACACACCCTCAAAAAGAATTGTCTTAAGTTAAATCCTTTGTTCATGTCTTTCTTAAAAGGTTTCACCAATAATTCTATAATCTCATTTGTCTCAATGTGTTTTTTTTTTTTTTTTTAAAGAGAAACCCGAAATATAAAAATAACTCCAGACAAATTTTTTTTTTTTTTTTTTTTTTTTTTTTTATTATATGCAGCTTTTTAAGGGATACACTTATTTTAGAAGTTTGTTGGCTAATTTGGGCTGTTAAGGAAAAAAATCCAAATTTATTAGTATCAAAGTTTCAGATGTAGATAGAAAACCAAATTTTACCCAACTGATATCGATGTCTCTCTATAATCTGGTCAGTTAAAAGGGAAAAAACTCCCTTGATTGAATTACTTGTTCTATTTGAGGAAGATGTTTGATGAGTCCTTAAAGATAAACTAGGAAAATACAAAAAAAATGAGAATGCAATGTGAATCCACATAGATTTTCTTTTTTATTGAAATGTCAATTCAACCTTTTATGAACAGAATAAAAAATTTCTATGACAACATCAGGGAGGAAAGAATAAATGAAGGCAGTCCAAGATTGGATAAAAGTGACATCTGCCTAGATCAGATATTCTCACACTGATACAAGCTAAAAGAAGGCTCAGTTTTATAATAATGGTTTTTCATTGTTGAATATATACATGAACCAAAGGTCATCAGTAGATAAACTTTTTTGTAGGAAGTACTATTGTTGGTGTTGCTATAGCGAAGAAAACGGCGACTTACCTCGTTAGATCAAACAACAGTGTGTTGCGTGTATTCTATGGTGGAAAATGTGGCGAAAAAGAAAATTACTTACCAAACAAAAGGGCATGTATTCTGCATGACATGCTGAAGATGTAATATTTGAATTAAAAAAAAAAAAAAAAAAAAACAAGTCCGTCGCAGGAGTTGATATAAAAGTATTTTGATATGCAAAATACTGAGCATCCTGTCCCAGCTGTTGACTAATGGAAAAAATGCTTGGCCAATAAAAGCAGTTGGTGTTCTTGAATTGGGGAGCAAAATTCGGGTATTTTGGCTACCACGTTTGTTGGAGAGTGAGTTATTTTTCTGACTGGTGGCGTGCATTGGGGATTTGTGAAATAGTACTTGCGAATCGAGTTTTTGGCATTTTCTTTCTGTCCCCGATGTTTGAGCTTAGTGATTTATTCTTTGTGACGTGGGCATAATCTGCGACAAACATTTCCTTTGCTATCCCAGATCGTTTACAAGCTATTTCAGCACTATGATGAACAAGACATTTGATGTCAAGTTGATACCAGAGTTTGACAGTTCAGTGACCGGACAAGCAGTTACTGAATGGATTGATAAAGCTGAACTTGTTTGTGACCTGTGTGGAATTAAAAAGGTTGAACATGTTCTTCCTTTGAGATTGACTGGTGGAGCATTGATTTATTCTCTGTGACGTGGAAATAATCTGCAACAAACATTTTCTTTGTAATCCCTGACAAGCTGTGTGTGCAGGAAAATGACATGATATATGTTAGCCCATGCTCTTGAGGATTCAATAAGTGTTTCTAATTTTTCCTTCTGTAATCTTTAATAATTTATATATTTCTTTAGAATAAATAAAGATTATTATAAGCACACTGTGTATGTGATAAAATTGCTGATATGAAATCTCTGAAAGAATTATGAGATGGAATAGGTGAAAACCACATGGCTGTTCAAATTTTTCATTCTATTAACATCATGCAAAAAAAGGTAAAGAGAAATCATTACCATAGCAGCCTTTCTACTTATTTTTATCTAAATTTAATTCTATATTTTCTTTAATACCTAAATAATATAAATTATAATTTGAATTATGTATTCACAATATCATTAGATATACAGGATTTATTTTTATTACCATAACTCCTTGAATTTCATACATCAAATAACTATATTTTACATTTATTTATTATTTATATTTTTCTATATCCAAATCTCAATGATGTTTGTAAATATTTATTTTTAATTTTATTAACTGCTTAAAGTTTCCAAACATTCTCAAATTAACCTCAGCTTTTTTAAGTAGCATGGTTGCCACGATAATTTTTTTTCAGTTGTTCTGTTTTTATTGGGCAAAACGTTGGCAACAGATTAAAAGAAAATGTAATCCTCCAACTGGTTTTCACATGTATTTTTTTTCTCTATCTCACAAACGCACACACCATTATAACAGTGTACATAGATATTAGTCTGATTCGAGGCAGGAGTACCAGGGAGTAATGCTTAAATAGTCCTGTACATTTTTGACAGGTTTTATATCATATTGATGAAATATTTGGATATTGAATTTATTGTTCAGAACATCAGAACTAAATTTTGAAAAACTTTGACTTTTCTGTCATTTTTTTCTTCATTGTGTCAGTTGGTTAGATTAAAAGCAAAAAGTTGCTTATTTTTATAAGCAAATGGTTAAGGAATGATGTAGGCATTTCAGCCCAAAATAAACTATTTACATTATTTACATTTAGACTAATCCCTAATCTTTATTACATTTCTACTGGTGTGCCTTCCAGGCTTCTTCGGGTGTCTGTTGATCTGGATAACCTTCAGGGAATTTTGAACTGAATATTTTATTTAATATACAGAGTTAGCATGTTCACATTCAGCTGTCCATGTCTAGGAATATCTCAGCCTTGTGTTCTCTTTTTAATACTGCTCAGTTATTGCTAGCTTTATTCCCACTGTTAAGAATAGTCATAATTGTGAGAGAGAACCATGAAACCTGGCATACACACATTAGATTTATATAGAAAGATAATAACTGCTACTGATATTTATTATCATCTTAGACATTCTACATTAATAATTAAGTGACTAAGATTATCTGGGATGTTTTTTCACATCAGATGTTCTTTTTTTATTAAACTGTTGAATGATATTTTTTTGTTTGTTATTAGGCTAAGCAAGAAGCTTGATGTCTACAATGTCTTGTGCTCTGAGCGTGATACATGGCAGTTGATCATTTCTTTATTCAAAGACCGCCTCGAAGAGACTTACCTGACACAAATGGAAGTAGAAGATGAAGCCTTGCACTCTTCCAGTAATGTATGTAGAAAAATGTTTGTCTGTAAATATTTGTTGCTTTCTGGGGATTTCAAAATGATGTTTAAAATATATAATCTGAACTTTTTAACTGAAACATTTTCATTAATATTAACTTTTTTCTGACTTTTTTTTTTCTTTTTATTTCATTTTTTGCTGAAAACCAACAAAAAAAATTACAACAAAAATAACCTGAAAGATAAATTTCTTTTACATCACAGTGTTCAGGTCACATTTCTATTTTGTTACTATGGTTGTTGCTTAATAGATGCAGAATGTAAAAATGACCTGAAAAAAAAAATCAACAAGATAAGAGGGGAATTAGTGAAAAATTAATAATGGTACTGTTTCCCTAAAATTTGGACAACTTAAGACTATTTCTCTGCAGATGTAAAAGCAAAAAAAAGTAAAATTATGTAAAAAGGCATCAGTAAATTTGTACAACATTTGATTGGCTTCTGTAACCTAATGGGTAAAGCAGTGATCCAGTCAGGTTCCCAAAGATAAAAGAAATACATGTGCGATGGGTAAATTGTCGCTATTTTATATTAATTTTTGTCTATGCACATGATTTGTTTTTTTTTTATTTTGTCAACTGCAAAGCATAGTAGGGTCAGTTGGGCAACGTCTGTAAGAAAAATTGCTCCATGACGCAATTCACTTTACCATAAACTTGAAAACAGCATGCTGTACTGCTTGGCATTTGCACCAGAAGTTCTAATACAAATATTCCTAGTGTGTGTCAATCTGAGGATAATGCAGAGGATTCGGAGTGTTTGACAAGTCGAATGGTAATTACAAAGATGTTTGGCAAGATCATTAGCAATGACAACATTATGCCTATATTCATACTTCCACATGACCTCAGACTCAACACGGAGGCCTACATCAAGGGCCTTGAAGAGGTAGTGCTGCCCTGGGTCAAGAGGGTGGCTGCTTGAAAGCCTTATGTCTGTTAACAGGGCTTTGCACCATACCACACAAGCAGGAGAACCCAGACATGGCTATCAAACAGTGTTTGTGACAATATCACTCCTTACAACTGGACATCTAACACCCAGACTGCAACCCCCTTGATTATTATGTGTGGGATGCACTTGAACAAGAGACCAACAAACTCCTTGTAACATGAAAGAGGAAATGAAGACAAGGATTATGGCAGCATACACCAACTTAAACAAGGAGACCATCCAGAAGAGGTACAGATTCTGAAGTCATCTGGAGGCTGTGGTCAAAACCAATGACAGTTTTATTGAATAAATTTGCACTTTCATATTTCAAGATGTTTTTGTGATGTTCATAAATATATCTGTTAAAATGAGATGCCAGTGTTATTTTTGTTTTTGCATAATTTAGACGACAATTTACTCATCGCACCCTACATATAGTCTGATGTTTACTTAAAATGTGGAAACTCTCACTCACAATGCACTGTTGATTTCTCCTTCTGTGCTATCTATACTTAAAAACACTCTGAATGGAGCCCTTTATCCACTCTGCCATGTGTCCTCAAGGACACATGGCACAGTAGATAGATAGATAGGTGTTAGATCCAGTGACAGGACCCAAAGAATGTGAGTTCAGTACCTGGTTATGGCAGTGGAGAACTTGGAGAGGGGAATTAGCAGGAGATAACTAATAACTGACATCCATTAGACATGGCACATGGAACTAGAACACTCTACACCACTGAACGAAATAAAGGGTTCAGTTTAACATTCCAACCACCTGAAGAAGGCTGGCACGTACAATAGTCAAAATGTTGTGATAAATATGGCGACAAAAATGAGGACTATATTCCAAATAATGTAAATAGTGTACATAATACTTCATCTCAGAAATATAGACACTTTTAATTATACATTAACTAACCTCAAATATATTGTCAAATAAGCTTTTTATTCATTCTGTGCACATTGCTTTTATCTCAATTTCTAAACTTTAATTTTTTATTAAATTTCTTTTTCTTTTCACATTTCAGATGAAATATCTGAGTGACAAAAACATTATGTCTGCCTTATTTTTGAGAGATTCTACTGTCAGAGAGGCTCAGGTAAAAACAATTGTCATTATATGCTTTTAAAATCTTTACCAAAACAACCAAGTCTTTGATACTCTAAACAATTTTAATATAAATGCAAATAGAAATCGTCCAATAGATGCTAGTGTTTTGTATCCTGATCCAAACATGAATTAAGCCAAGACTGAAATCAAATGGTTTAATCTTTTCATTCTGACTGACCGAACATTATGCTCCTGTTTTAATTCTATAGATTGTTGTTGATTGGTTGGAAAATTGTTCCAGAGAAAACTTATCCATTTTGATGAAGAATCCCAAGTTCTATTCTGGCCAAGCTGTGGCATGGTAAGTTTACAAAGATTTTTATTCATTTTTGTTCTGATATATAACAAAAATAAACAAGAAGTATATTTATGTTTCAATTTGCAAAATAAAACCTTTTCATTCTTATACAATTTAATGATGAGTTTCTTTTAATCTGGAAGATGGTTCTTTGGATTGAAGAAATAGCTTCAGGTATGATTCTAACTGGAGACATTGGCATTTATGGCTGATATCTTTCTTTTAACTGACAAAACAGATATAAATTCAAAGTGTTTTCTAAGAATCTCAAAACACCTTTACAATACTATTATTACTTCTATTTACTGTGTCCTTTCAGGACGTGGGCAGTCATGGATCTTCACAACTTTCTATCCCTTATGTCCCTTAGAAGTTTTTCTCTCTTTGCCAAGGTTCCCCCACATGCTGTTCTACCATCCATTCGCACAAGCTTGTCAGGTAGGGCAGCCTGCTGCCTTCCCCTCTTGTCCTTGATAAGCCCTCCTCCCTCATTATGTGTCCAAGAAATTTCAACTGTCTATTTCTGGTTCTGAGTAGAAGTGTTCTTTGTTACCATTTTCTTTAAAACTTCATTATTGCTTACTTGCTCTGTCTCTGGAATTCTCAGTATCCTTCTGTAGAACCACATTTCTGTTATTTCCAGTTTCCTCTTCATCTACAGTGAAATTCACTGGGATATACACACAGCAATTCAGCACTTTTCATTTTTAACCTTGAGATAACTTTCTCTCTCCCCACCCTTCAATAACTTCAATTGTGGCACATTAACAAACTGGAATGTTTCTCATATATATATATATATATATATATATATATATAATTACCTCATGAGTATAGACTAACGTCAATGTGGTAACTTTATTCAACTCAAATGTTGGATTGTATTCAGTTTCAGAATTAGAAAATTTTAAAATTAAATATTTGAAAATTTGTACTTTTATATACACACACACACGTGTGAAGAGTATATATATATATATATATATATATATATATATATATATATATATATATATATCAAAAGTTTCAACTGATCACCTTAGTGTATAATTGCTAATTTAAAAAAAAATTTTTTTTTGTATTTTCTTTTAAGGGAGAATACTCTTCATCAGCTTCAGAAAAAAAGTCGCTTTACTTCAGAGAATATAGAACGACCTTTAGTAGAAGAAATGGTGAGTAGTACTAAATGTGTTGTGTTCATTTTATTTACAGAATCCTCCAGGTATGCGATTTGTCATAGAAAATTGTTTTATGTGCTGGATGTGTAATCTTTCCTGGATTGGTGAATGTATATTATATCTCTCTTCACCCCCCCCCCTAAAATACAGGAATTTGTCTGAAATTTTGATTAAAATCTCTTTGCTTTGTTGAGAAAGTTGAATGCTCTATATTGGCTACAATTTGCTCTAAAGGAAATAACACCAACTTGTTTGTCTCCTTTAGGATCCTGATGCACCAAATCGTCATGGAAGGGTGCTTGATGATCTTGATCAAGAGGATGAACTTTTGCTATTGCAAAGGATGTTTGCCTGCATCCGTGCAGGTGACTTTAACCAGGTAAACAACAATGTCATTTCTTTCTTTCTCTTTATTTTTTTTTCCTCCCCTCTCCTTTCCTCTCACTCCCCCCCCACACACACACAATAAGATACCTGACCAGAAATGATCCAGTCATTAATAAAAAGAAATCTACCTAACTGCAGTTTAGTGATTGCTATTTCCATGGAAAATTTTCTGATGAATGACATTCCCAGGTTCCATCAATTCAAACATTTAAAGCTAAAGCCCACCCAGTCATGTACACAGTGGAGGACCATCCTCATTCCCTTTGTGTTCCATTGGTAAGAAGGAAGTTCCATTTGGCCTGCTTCTTCCAAGATGGTGCTTCTCTGAATATTACTTTCAAATTCCGGGTTAACCTCTTCAAATTCAGTGTTAACCGTTATCTATTCTTGCATATCCTCATAATCTACAATTTTTACATGCATAAAACAACTTCATCCAGTAACGGTCTACCTTGAGTGGCCATTGGGCCTTGAACAACACTATTAAAAACAAAAAATCTTAAAGGCAGGGATAAAGTGCTTTCTCTTTTTTTGCTCTGTATACTGATAATAAATAGGCTCAGCCCAAGGTAAAAACCAACCAGCTCACTTACTCCAGGATTCTTAGCTTCTCTGAAGCTCTTTTATATAATTATTGTTCTAATAATAATAAAGGGTGCAGGTAAATTTATATAATAATAATAATAATAATAAAAAGGTCGGGGGTAAATTTGCAGATTAAGATCCAGAAAGCAATTGTAATGAAAATTTCCTCTCTGGTGTGAAACTGCATGATTAATTTCAAAATAACAAAAGTTTACTGAAGAAAATTGTTTAGAAGCTATCGACAATATAATTTTGGCCTTATTCACGTCTAGCCCACTACTATTAGTGGCGTTGTTTGCATATGTTTGTCTCGAGTAGTAATGCACGGAAGCTTATTTAACATCCTTTTTACTGATCTTATCTTCTTACTTGTCTTGATGACTGCAAAATTCGCAAAATTTAATTAAAAAGTTTGTTCATTGTGCATTAATCAAGACAAGTGAAGCTTCCATGCAATACTACTTAAAAAAACGTTCTACGTTAAAGCTAAGTAATGGCATCTATCTATCTAACCACAACACCAATGAGGCCAAACTTATATTATCGATAACTCCTAAATGTTTTCCTTCCACAAACTTTTATTGCTATTTTTGAAATAAGCATGCAAATTTACACCAGAATGAGAATTTTCATTACACATGCTTAATCTGCAAATTTGCCAAAAAGTATCCTCTTTAACCTAAGACGTTAAAAACTCCTTCACATCACACAAAAAAAAGCTAAATTTCCCACATATGGACATATTTTCAACTGTTGACATTGATGGTGAGATTACTGGAAACTTTCAGCATTCATTGGTTGAATAGTTAGTGTCCAGTATGCACAACTTCAATTATTGTAAAAACTGTTGACTTTGCTGTTGTCCAGAAGACACTCTGTTCCATGTGGAAAGTAAGCTACAGATGGTCGTTGCTGATAAAGCTAGCTGTTCATGATGCAGTATGAAAGCATATTGATGAAAAGTAGACTGGAAAGGAAAATTATGGTAGAAAAAGATTCACAAGCAAAGATGGATGACTGCAGCCTTAAGCAGATTGGCAAGCAAATCTAATTCAATAACTTGGGGGAACTTCACAAGGAGTGGACTAAAGCTGGAGCCACCACACACACAGCAAAAGGCTACAAATGTCACATTGCTAGTATCAAGCCACTTCTGAACCAGCAAAAATTTCAAAGGCATCTTATCTGAGCAAAGGAGAAAAAGGCCTGGACTGTTGCTCAGTGGTCCAAAGTCCTCTTTTCAGATGAAAGTAAAAATTTGCATTTCACTCTAGAGCAAAAGTGAAGAGGCACAGAATCTGAGTTGCTTTAAGACCAATATGAAGTTTTCTGTCAGTGATCATTGGAAGTGCCACATCATTTGTTAGTGTTGGTCCACTGTTTTTTGGGGTTTTTTTTGTTTTTTATCAAGTCCGCAATCAATGTATTCATCTGTCAGAAGATTTTTAGAACACTTCAGGCTTCTATATTTTGACAGGCTTTATGGAGCTGTGAATTCTCTTTTCCAGCAGGACTTGGCACAGTGTGTCAAAAGTACTAGTAACCACATTGCTGACCATAGTATTACTGTACTTGATTGGTTTAGCTAATTTACCCAACCTGAATCTTTCTATATACTATTAGATTTTGATTACCGCTTATAGTTGGAACTTCAAATTTAATGTTTTTGTTTAAAAACAAGTTTTATTTCTCTTATAGCAAATTTACTTCTAGTTGCAGTAAAATAAATAAAAGTAAACATTTTAAGTATAAATTGGCATAATTTCTTTTTTGTTTTTGACAACTTTTTTTTTCTTTTCCCCACTTGAAAAACAAACCTTATTTATTTTAAACCTTTATTCTTGATGGCATTCACTTTGATACATTAATCAGTGTTGATTTTTGCTTCTATTTTAACACTTACTCTTATAGATTTTTATGTCTTTACACAATTTGCATTGCCTTCTGCTGACATATATATATATATATATATATATATATATATATATATATATATGTGTGTGTGAAAATATATAGAAAATAGGAAGGAACTGGTTAGGTAAATAATCCAAAGTCCCTTAGTATTTTAGTTATTATTTTTTTAAAATAGTGCTCGATACAAAAGTAGAGCATAAATATAATTATTTATTTAAAAATATGATTCCAAATTGCTACATAAGAGGTCTCATGTTTCAAAACAAGAGCCAAAAACTTCAATATAATCCTTTAAATTAAATTGAGTTGAAAGTAAAATGGGCTCCGTTCCATCTTCAAGCGAAATTTTTGTTGTTTTCCAACAAAAATTTTTTTTTTTTAAGTGTCTGTCCCTAGTATTTGCTTTATAGACTGTGGGTTTCAGTCTACATTTGGGATGACTACAAAATACTTTCCCCCTCCTCAATTTATGTGCAGAAGAACACAAATGTATGCTGGGATTTTTTCCTTAATAAACTAGGCTGGGTCTTGGTTTCATCTGACTCGGTCCCAGTCTGTCTAGAAGTCAACACTTTGTTCTGAACTTGCTCTTGTGTGTCAACCCTAATTTTTAGTTTGTGAACTTTTTGCCTTATTACTGTTAATTTGCCTTGCATATATTGTTTGTTTGCTTTATATTATTTTTTGCCCTGTTCTTTCCTTTTTCTTGTTATTGCTTATTGCAAACGTTATCAATTCTGTTTGTTGGGCCCTTCTGTTATCTTGCATTTATTATGGCTACTCATTCCACATAGACAAACTAGTGCTTAGTGTTATTTCCAAACTAGCAGAACTATATAGTAACATACAATACGGCTTATTTTGTGATGTATTTTTATCATATTGTATGTTGGTGGTGTTTAGCTTGGTTGGTACTGCAGAGTATCCTATTAAAACCAAAATGACTGTACTCATGAGAAATTGCTGTCAATGTCTTTATAGTTATTTATTTTCAGTAAATGGCAATTTTCTATTTTTTCCTCAAAATAGGCCAACATCGCCGGGAAAGAATGCTAGTGACAGTGTTAACAAATAAATTCTGTTAAATGTGTTTTTTTTAATATACTTTTGCAATGTTAAATTTTATTTTTCAGGCTCAAGAGATTTGTATCAATTATGGCCAGTCATGGCGAGCAGCAACATTAGAAGGGTGGAGACTGTATCATGATCCCAATTTTGAAAGTTTGACTACACATGAAACCATTCAGCCTGTAGAAGGAAATCTGTATCGTGATGTTTGGAAACAAACCTGTTGGGACATGTGCCAAGAGGTATGCATAAACAATCTTTTTTTTGTTTTTTTTTTTCCTTACTTCCTTAAATATACAAAGAGATACTGAAAAGTCCTCAGCTGGATCATCTGACAAAATGATTAAGCGTCAGAATTTGTAATTTTTGTGAGACAATTCCTCCTTGGTTAGCATTTCTTTGTGCAGAATTATACAATGGATTCTGGTTAATTGGGACAGAATGAAAATAGAACTTTTTATACAAATTAGACAGCTGTCCCCATTACATAAAGCAGTACGCAACTGTAAAATCCTGCATGTCTAATTGTTTATTCTGACGTATTATTGTGGATCTTAAGGAGGACTGCAACCACACCAAGTGAGAGCAAGAAGAATTTTTGCATGGAGTTCAGATGCCATTCTCTACATTGTTAACTATGAGCCTGCTCATACCACCAGACATGGAAAAGAATTTCAAATAAATGGTTCTTCCTAATTAATCAATTAAACAAATTCTGTAAGGTTTTAATTGTAAGATTGTTCTATGATATGTATGGGGGAGTATGCATGTCATGTCCTTTCAGGAAGTCAGCAATACAATCCCTACAAATTACTTTTCCCATTGACTTCTCCATAATTTTGTATTCAACGTTGTCTCTTTTCTAGACTGACTGCCACCCAAATTCAATATGTCCTGTTATTTAACCTATAGCTAAGAGAGGGAAGAGAATGGAAATAGGTTCATACTTTTTCCAAGTGCATCAGTGCAAAAAATGAATGCAATAAACTAGGAAGGAATTTGAATTTGGCTTACAGCTTGAACTTTCTGCATTGATAACTGTTACAATATCTGCATCTCTCTTTTGTTCCTTAAATGTGCATTGACATTTGCTGAAGTTATCGTCTACTCTAATGTAATTTCTTTTTCTTTCTTCTAAGCCCCCCCCCCCATATGGATGTGAACAAAATCTCTGCCACAATGTAGGCTCTACTTGGATTACTTTCTTGGGCATAATGGCATTGTAATACATTTCTGCGTTTAATTGTTTTCTTGTGTCACATTATTAGTGGCTTAAAACTATTGCAAAAGGCCGATCACAGTGAGTAGTTGTGGGGTGGAGGTTCAGCCATGAACAACCAAAAAAGTCAATTAAACAGCTTGGTAGGTTCTCAATAAACAAAAATGGTTATACAGTTTTCTCTTTAAGGTTCCCAAATTAAGCAGTGACACAATTTCTCTGGCAATTTTTATGGTATAATTAGCATAGTACCCATGAAAAAATTATTTTTATTCATACAGAAATATCTATCTTATCTGTGTATATATATATATATATATATATATATATATATATATATACACACACACAGAACAGTAAGGTATATAATCCGGTGTTCTTATTGATATTTTTTACTTTTATTTTTACAAAATAGCGCTCATTGTAAATTTACAGAGCATAAATATTATAAATTAACTGATTTAAAATGTTTTTTTGCTACACAGTAATAACCATGTTTCAAAAACTGAAGCTGAAAACTTCAAATTTAATTATATAATTAAATAAAAAGCATTAGTTCCGTTTCATCTCTAAGTGAATATTGGAATAACTTATTTTTAAATTAAATGAGTTTTAAACGCACACATAAATTCATAACTTTATGCTTCCAAGGATACAGAGAAATCCAATCATTCAGACAGGGGTGGTAGCATGTTCATTTTTACTAACTCATAATTGATACAACAATAGTTTTACGCACATTCTACAGACTACTTGTATAGTACTTGTACAATGTCTAACTATATTATTGGATACAAAATTAACCATGTAATATTTGTTGTTCAAGTTTCAAGTAAATATTTTTAATCTGTCTAGAGGTTTTCTTATGCCTTTTCTCAAATTTCAAAATTATTTTTGTAGTGGTGACTTTTTTTTTCTTTTCTCTCTTCTTTCAAACAGGAGAAGTACAATATTTACGAGAAAGCCATCTATGCTGCCCTCAGTGGTAATTTGAATGCTCTCCTTCCAGTTTCTCGTTCATGGGGTGATTATGTTTGGGCCTATTTCCGGACATACGTCGATCAAATGGTAGAGCAAGAGGTCCACTTCTTATCTCACCGGAAGAAAGAAGAACTGCCACCCAATTATTTGAATAAAAGGTAAAAAAAAAAATAAATTTGTGACAAACTGAAATTTTTATAAATGTGCTCCTAAAACATTGCCTGATTTTAATAGAGCTTAACAACATGAGTTACAACTTAAAATGATAACTGCAGAAGTCATAGCTATGTCAGAGTGGTTTCTCCAACTCTTCATGTGGCCACTTGCTTTTCCAACTACCATGTCATATCAGTAACAAGATTTTTTTATTTTAAGATATTTGAAATATCTGCATTAAAAAAAAAAAAAAAAATGTACATGGTTTGGGAAAATAGACTGTTGTTGGCTGATCAAATTAAGCCGAGCTAAATTGAATATCTGGCCACCAGTATGAGGCCATGTTTTTGAATCACATGTACAAAGGGGATGCTAAAAAGTTGTTGACCCCTACCAAGGGAGGCTTTCTAAAAACAAATCTGATGTTTTGGTTATTTTAATCAGATTTTAGGATGTCGGTTCAACCAAAAGCTTTTCAGCACCCCATAATTTTAAAACAACAAATCTTTGTGGTTAAATTCTTTCACTCTATCCTGATTGTATTTTTTCTTCTAGTTATCAGTTTATTTGCCACTGATATTTTGTTGGTCTTACCGTTTGCCTTTTATTTTAATTCAGTATTAGATTCACGTGAATTACTGAATGACAACGACTAAAACTTTCTCTTTGATTTCTGCTTTTCAGATTGGATCCTGAGATAATATTTAAAGATATTGAAGCTTGTGATAATGAAGTGAGTATGTTTTTATGAACACTTTTATGAAAACTATAAAATTCTGTTGACCCTGTAGCTTGGCTTAGTCTGGCACAAGGCTACAAGTATGGTGCACATGGTTTTCTCTTTTAAAAATTTAAAAAAAAAATCTTTAAAAGTGTTTTTCAAAAAAAATGAATCATGACATCAACTTTTGTGTTACCAAAAAATGCATCAAACAAATTGTCACTTTTGATGTTATCAAATAGTAGTAAGTCTTCAGAAGGCGGCATTCAGTTAGGGGTGAGGGGAAAGGCGGTGAGGGTGGCAAAAATAATGTTAGGAAACTGCAAGTACAATGAGTCTTATATTGCTGTTTTCATGGTAGATGTTCAGATGAGGTCCACTTTTAAAATTCACATCCCACACACAAATATTGAAAAACACCTCGAAATGTCAGAATATATGTCATAAATTTCAGATATGTGTGAAATGTAATCACATGCTCAAATGGCACCTATTGAAAGACATTACAAACTGTTATTCCAAACATAAATAAATGCTCTGATCTCTGAAGATATCAGCAATTTGGAATAAATATTGCCACAGTATATTTTACATATATATTGTATTGGGGCAGCAGATCATTAAACAGATATTGTATTGGGGCAGCAGATCATTAAACAGATATTGTAAAGTAAAAAGAACTTCCATTATTGGAGGTCATCTACATTAAAACAAAGCAACCCACACTCGACAAAATTACATTTCAAACTAGTCACAACACATTACATTGCATCTAGACATATTGTTCTCTTGTTAATATTTGTCTCTCATGTGGCACAATGTCATAGAACCGCATTGTGAACTTACAACCTGCGTTATCATTACATAGCAATCTTCTATGTCACCATAACAGAATATCATCGTTGATGGTGAATATCTTTGTTTAAATGTCCAAAAAAATAAGAAATATAGAAAATATGTATAGTTTTAAGGTACGCTGTTTACATTATTCTGACTATTGTCGTCATCTTTGTTGCCATGTTTATCACAACGTTTCAGCTGTTGTACGCTCCGGACTTCTTCAGGTAGTTGGAATGTCGCGGTTATCATTGGAAAAATCAGACGTGGTTGACCACATATGGAGATTTATTTAATATCACCGCCCTATTTATGGGATCAGGTTGAGATCATAAACAAACTGAACCCTTTGCTCACTGGGGTAGACTGTTCTAGTTCCACATGCCATGTCTAATAGACATCAGTTATTCCTGCTAATTCCCCTCTCAAAGTTCTCCACCACCTTAACCAGGTATTGAACTCACACTCTTTGTGTCTTGTCACTGGATCTAACTAACTTCTTTATCCACTGTTCCATATGTCTTTGAGAACATCTTTGTATGAATTTCTGGGTATTATAAACCTAATGTCTACATCAACCATTTTTTTACTAGTGCTCATATTGCAATTTTTTGCAGTTATCATTGGAAAAATCAGGCATGGTTGATCACATATGGAGAGAAAAGGGAGATCACCACCCTCTGTGGGATCAGGTTGAGATCATAGACAAAGAACACCATTGGAAAATTTGTAAACTTAAGAAATCAGTACATATGCTAGGCCACAAAAATCTCCTGAGCCAACCAAGCATAGAAATGAATACAATATGGGAACCAGTAATAAGGAGTGCCAGAGAAACGCGATAACAAAAATTGCAATATGAGCTCTGGTAAAAAACATATATGATAACTGCAAAAATTGCAATATGAGCACTGGTAAAAAATGGTTGCTGTAAACATTAGGTTTATAATACCCAGAAATTCATACACAGATGTCCTCAAGGACACATGACACAGTGGATCCAGTGACAAGACCCAAAGAGTGTGAGTTCAATACCTGGTTAAGACGGTGGAGAGGGGAATTAACAGGATTAACTGACATCCATGTAGAACTAGAATAGTCTACACCAGTGAGGGAAATAAAGGGTTCAGTTCGACATTCCAACCACCTGAAGAAGGCTGGAGCATATAACAGCCAAACATTGTGATAAACATGGGGACAAAGATGAGGACAATAGTCCAAATAATGTAAATAGTGTACATAATACCTCATCTCAGAAATGTAGACAGATGTTTTAAGGTATGCTGTTTTTATGGGTTAAAATGCTCGATATCAGAGATGTAAGTATAAAAGTGGACATTGAAGTTAACACTCAGAGGCGACAGGCTGTTTCATAAACACAATCATCGGTTCACCACATTGCTAAACAATCATCATCGGCCTGATGCATTTAGCATGAAACAATATATCACCTCTGAGTGTTGACTTCAATGTTCACTTTCTATATATATATATATATATATATATATATATATAAAACTGTATTAATGTGGGCAGGGGTTTAAAATATATGTACTAATTAATACATATCTTTTTTCTATAACTGCATTATGGCCCCAAATGTTTACATGCATAAATTTAACAATTATTTATTTGCTTGCCTGCATATGCACACCAGCACATGCATAATAAAGTGGCCAAATATAAGCAGCTATACAGGGCAAAGATATGTATTAATTAGTACATATATATTACTAAATCTATCCGATGAAAATGGGAACACCACCCAATATAACTATAGTATGATGCCAAAATGTCCAAATGTGTATGTGTAATAACATACATACATCACACAATTTCAGAAATATCATTAGTAATTGTTTTTGTATTTTCAAATGGATAAGATTTATAACAAAATTATAAAATATGAAATCTAATAATTGCATATTTGAAATGTTGCTTTTCGACATTGAAACAAGCCATTTTTTTACTGCAGCATTGCACACTAACATTCTATATAAGCTCCACTGATTACATATGAAAAAGAAAAAAAGAAATACTTTTGTATATCACCCCCACCTCCTAAATAGCTTTCATTTAGGTTGAGAAGTTTGTTCCTCATCTTGCTATCATTTTCCATCCTCATCAATTCACTTTTTGCTTTTTTTTTATCACCAATTGCTGTCTTATCCAAATCCAAAAATATGTTGAGCATGGAGAGTAAAATATTTAGAGGTTGACTGATTTAATTCCGTAAGTTGAGCTGAGTAAACTTTAAAGACACTTTTAAGATTTCCCTAACTCCAAGCAAAAGATAATGCTGTCAAAATAATAAATCAACACCTCAACTTGATGATAAACAATTGGTATTATTAATCAATTGATGATTGTAAGAGTTACTTTTGCTAGGGTCTCGGTTTTAATTTTTCATGTTTGTTTTTTTTTATTTTTATTTTTTTTTGTACAGGGGATCCGAAAAGAAAGTCATCTTTATTTTAATGTGATTCAAAAGCTGATTATTCTCAATGATATTGACAGTAAGTCTATCTTGATCATGTTTCATTCTTCTTCTTCTCTCGCTTCTTCTCTCTCTTCTCACTCTTCTTCTCCTCTCTCTTCTCACTCTTCTTCTCCTCTCTCTTCTCACTCTTCTTCTCCTCTCTCTTCTCACTCTTCTTCTCCTCTCTCTTCTCACTCTTCTTCTTTTCTCTTCTTTTTAATCTTTGCTCTCTTTTTTTCCTCTTCTTCTCCTCTCTCTTCTCATTTTCTTTTTTCTCCTCTCTCTTCTCCTCTCTTCTTCTTTTCTTCTTCTTTTCTTCTTCTCAGAACCCACTTCTCTTCTTCTTCTCCTCTTCTCCTTTTCTTCTTCTTTTTCTTCTAACATTCTTCTTCTCCTCTTCTTTTAAAGATTTCTTCTTCTTTTTTTCTTCTTCTTTTCTTCTTCTTTCACCCTAAACTTCTTTTCTTTTTCTTCTTTTCTTTTTTTTCTTTATTCTTCTTCTTTTTTTCTTCTTCTTCTTTTCTTCTTCTTTTCCTCTTCTTCTTCTTTTCTTCTTCTTCTTTCTTCTCCCTTCTTCTTCTTTCTTCTTTCCTCTTCTTCTTCTTCTTCTTTCTTCTTCTTCTTCTTCTTCTTCCTCTTCTTTTTCTTCTTCTTTTTCTTCTTTTCTTCTTCTCCTCTTCTTCTTCTTTTTCTTCTTCTTTTTCTTCTTCTTTTCTTCTTCTCCTTTGTCTTCTTCTTCTTCTTCTTCTTTTCTTCTTCTTCTTTTCTTCTTCTTCTTTTTCTTCTTCTCCTCTTCTTCTTCTCCCCTCTTCTTCTTCTTTTTCTTCTTCTTTCTTTTTTCTTCTTCTCCTTCTTCTTCTTCTTTTTCTTCTTCTTCTTTCTTCTTTCTTCCTCTTCTTCTTCCATTCTTCTTCTTCTTCTTCTTTCTTCTTTGAAATTTCTTCTTCTTCTTCTCACTCTTCTTCTTTTCTTCTTCTTCTTCTTTTCTTCTTCTTCCTTTCTTCTTTCTTCTTTTCTTCTTCTTCTTTCTTCTTCTTTTCTTCTTCTTTTCTTCTTCTTCTTCTTTTTCTTATTCTCCTCTTTTCTTCTTTAAACAAGTTCTTCTTCTTCTTTTTTCTTTTTCTTCTTCAAATTTCTTCTTCTTTTCTTTTCTTCTTTTCTTCTTCTTTTTTTTCTTTCTTCTTTTTCTTCTTTTCTTCTTTTTTTTCTTCTTCTTCTTTTTTTCTTTCTTTTCTTCTTTTTCTCTTCTTCTTCTTTTTCTTTCTTCTTCTTTTCCCGATTCTTCTTCTTCTTTTTCTTCTTTTCCTTTTCTTCTTCTTCTTTTTCTTTTTCTTCTTCTTCTTCTTCTTCTTCTTCTTTTTTTTCTTTTTCTTCTTTTCTTCTTCTTTTCTTTTCTTCTCTTTTTCTTTTTTTTTTCTTCTTCTTCTTTTTTTTTCTTTTTCTTCTTTTCTTTCTTTTTTCTTTTTTTTCTTTTTTCTTTCTTCTTTTTTTTCTTTTTTTCTTTCTTTTTTTCTTCTTTCTTCTTCTTTCTTCTTTTTTTTTCTTTTTCTTTTCTTCTTCTTTTCTTTTTTTCTTCTTCTTTTTTTTCTTTTTTTTTTTTTTCTTTTCTTTTTTTTTTTTTCTTTTTCTTTCTTCTTCTTCATTTTCTTTTCTTTTCTTCTTTTCTTTTTTTTTCTTCTTTTTTCTTTCTTTTTTTCTTCTTTTTTTTTTTTTCTTCTTTTTTCTTCTTCTTTTCTTTTATTTTCTTCTTCTTTTCTTTTCTTTTTCTTTCTTTTCTTTTCTTCTTCTTCTTTTCTTTTTTTTTTTTTTTTTCTTCTTTTCTTCTTCTTTTTTCTTCTTTTTTTTTCTTTTTTTTTCTTCTTCTTCTTCTTCTTTTTTTTCTTTTTTCTTTTTTCTTTTCTTTTCTTCTTTTTTTTCTTTTTCTTTTTACATCTTTTCTTTTTCTTCTTCTTTTCTTTTTCTTCTTCTTCTTTTCTTTTTCTTCTTTCTTTTTCTTTTTCTTCTTCTTCATTTCTTCTTTCTTCTTTTTTTTCTTTTTTCTTTTTTTTTTTCTTTCTTTTCTTTTTCTTCTTTTTTTTCTTTTTTTCTCTTCTTCTTCTTTTTCTTCTTCTTCTTCTTCTTCTTTCTTCTTCTTTTCTTTTCTTCTTCTTCTTCTTCTTTTTTTTTCTTCTTCTTCTTTTTCTTCTTTTTTCTTTTTTTCTTTCTTTCTTTTTCTTTTTCTTCTTTCTTCTTCTTCTTTTTTCTTTTTCTTCTTTTTTTTTTCTTCTTTCTTCTTTTCTTCTTTTTTCTTTTTTCTTTTCTTCTTTTCTTCTTCTTTTTCTTCTTCTTTTTTCTTCTTTTTCTTCTTTTTCTTTCTTCTTCTTTTTTTCTTCTTCTTTCTTTTTTTTTTTTCTTCTTCTTCTTCTTTTCTTTTCTTCTTCTTCTTCTTCTTTTTCTTCTTTTTCTTCTTCTTTTCTTCTTCTTCTTTCTTTTCTTCTTCTTCTTCTTTTTTTTCTTCTTCTTTTCTTCTTCTTTTTTCTTTCTTTTTTCTTCTTCTTCTTTTATTTCTTTTTTCTTCTTTTCTTCTTCTTTTCTTCTTCTTCTTTCTTCTTCTTTTCTTCTTTTTTTTTTTCTTCTTTCTTCTTCTTTTTTCTTCTTCTTCTTCTTCTTTTCTTCTTTCTTCTTCTTCTTCTTCACACTTTCTTCTTCTTCTTCTTTCTTTTTCTTCTTCTTCTTTTTTTTCTTTTCTTCTTCTTTTTTTTTTTTCTTTCTTTTCTTTTTCTTCTTTTTTTCTTCACTCTTCTTTCTTCTTTTTTCTTCACACTTTTCTTCTTCTTTTCTTTCTTTTTCTTCTTTTCTTTTCTTCTTCAGTTTTCTTTTCTTTTCTTCTTTTGTTTCTTCTTTTTTTTTTCTTCTTCTTTTTTCTTCTCCTTTCTTCTTTCTTCTTCTTCTTCTTTTTCTTCTTCTTTCTTCTTCTTTTCTTCTTTCTTTCTTCTTCCTTTCTTCTTCTTTTCTTCTTCTTTCTTCTTCTTCTTTCTTTCTCTTTTTCTTCTTCTTTTCATATTTATTTATATATATTTATTTATATTCCTAATTATTAGCTCAATTCTTTCTTTTTTTTTTGTTTCTTCTTCTTTTTCTTTTAAAAAGGCAGTTTTTTTTTCTTCTTAATTTAATTAATTTTGTTTTTTACTTAACAAAGAATCAGCTTTCTTCTTCTTCATCATTTGTTAAAATATTTTAAAAGGTTTTCTTTCTATTTTTCACAGATTTTTTTTTTTTTTTTTTCTAATTTTTCTTTTTCCGTTTTTTCTTCTTTTTTTTTTTTTTTTTGCCTGATATCATTAATGATGAGTTTCTTGTGTCATGTGCTTCAGGTTATGAACAGTTGTGATAATTAGATCATGATATTTACTGCTATCCACAACTGACCATCAATAGAGAAATGCACACAGATAAAATCTTGTATGGTTGGCATTCTACAACAAGCTCATTAACCTAGACATAACAATTATGGCTTCAAAGAGTTGGAGATTGCAGGGGAAAATATTACCTGTCAACAGAACAGGCCAAATATTTATTCAGCCTCTTTGGATGGGGAACTGGAATTTCTTTATGTTCTGTGGACAAGGAAGAATTCTTGCTTCATATTGGTTGCATTCTCCTTTATTTTCATATTTTTCAGCTGCTGTCCTACTTTTTCTCTGGCCCTCTGTGCTGAGAACTTGCTAGTCTGTATATGTAGTTTGTGGACTGATCTTCAGGACATCACTTTTTATATCAGACCTCTGCAATCTACATTGTAACTAGTGAGCCACTCTTTGTCAATTGTTTTCTTATTTTTGTCACTTGGGGTGTTTGGTTACATTCCATCATATCAAAATTATGAGGAAATAGGAGTTGAAAAAATGAACACTCAGGATATACAGGGAGAAGGAGGGAGCAAAATGTCTATCTAATGAGTTTGCCTGAATGGATGGTAGATCAGAAAGAAAGAGGGTCAGGAAGCTGTGGAGAACCATGATTGTCCATATGCCTGAAGGCACAAACATAAGTCTTTGTGAACAAAAACTTATAAAAACTGGTTTGGGATGAGAAAAACTTGTTTAATTTTAATCTTGATATCATTTTAATGCCAGACATTTACATTTGACTTTTCATCTATTTTTCTTTTCCTCTTCCTCCTTAGGCCTAATTAACAAAATGTACGAATGGTTAAATACGTATATCAAACGATACCTTCACATTTTTACGTTTCATAAAAACGCCTTGTCCTATTCTTCCAAGCAATAGGACTTGATTCCAAGGTAAGATCTCAACCTCTCCTAAAAAAAAATGCTCATTCACCGGAATAGAAATTATCAGTGCTTATTGCTGCTACAATTCTTCCTTTCAAAAAACTTTTGTAGCTTTTTTTTTTTTTTTTTTTTTTTTTTTTTTTTTTTTTTTTTTTAACTGACTTCAGTCAGTGGAAGCCTCTTCCATTCTGCAGCTCCTGAAATGAAATAATACAGGCGTAATCTTCTGACAAAGAATGTAATGGCTTTTCCTACTTATTTCAGATAATTACTCTGTATGAAAACTGCGTCCTCTTATTTTTCTCTGTAGGGTAAATTGGAAAATGGTGGAAAATATGTAAAATTACCTAATAAATGCCTGTAGGACAGATCCAGCCCACAAAGTGATTTTGACCAGCCATTAAGGAAAATTGGGATGTATTATCTAACCTTCAACCAATTTTTATTATCTTTTGACTCTCCCTCCCTCTCTCCATGCACTATCTTTCCTTGACCCATAGGAAACCATTTTTGTGACCAATATTTTCATCAAATTTTATTAGGTTTAATTTGCCCGACTCCTCTTCCATATGTCTGCAGTTAAGCTTGACCTACCCACCAAGTGCAAATATTTAATCAAGTCCAAGATTAGCAGGTTCTGGTCTAGTTCTTCTCCATGGAAGAGAAATAAAACTCTACCTCCCCACCATCATGTAATTCTTCCATCAGCTCCCTGGCAATAGGGTACAAACATACTTTGCATCAATGTCTCTGTGTTTTTTTTTTGTTTTTTTTTTTTTTTAATTTTGAAGTGGAAATAAATTTGGCAATTCATATTTTGGAAAGCTAACAACCCACTGAAATCCCCCCTCCCATCCCCAGTGAATTTGATGCAAACTAATTTTAATGCCAGACTACTACCAATGGACTGCTCTGGTGTTGATGAACCACCACCACTAACAATAGAGTTTATGTCCTTGCCCATTGGTAATGCCTTGGTGACTGTCCTGCGGCATTCTCCCTCAACATGTAAATGACCCTTTTGCATCCTTGGGTTTCAGACCTTTTCATTAAAAAATCTTGTGTGGTATCTTGTTACACTGAGCTCGGGTTCAAATTGGTTTCTAAACCATACAAATACACACTGATTCATGAACTTTGTGCTTGAAAATGCAGTCTTTTTTTTTTTTTTTTTTTTTTTAGTAGACTTAATTTTCTGCTATTCAGTTAATCACATTCACATTCACACTGTTTACTCTTTAAAGATTCTTAATGTGTTTCTTTTAATAATTTCAAAAGCTAGATTGATTGAAATAAATTCTGACTAAATATTTTTTTGATTCTTGGTATGCATTATTCATTGACTCATATATAACTCATTTTAATTGCTACCATCCATATTTCCTGCTTTTCTTAGTTTTTCTTGTATTTTTTTAATTTTTTTTATTTCTTTTTTTTTTTCCTCCTCTTCAATGGTATCTGTCTGGCTACACCATCTACTCATTAATACATGCTCTGGCCTGCAAAATGGTTACTGACTCCTCTATTCAGCCTAACTTCAAAAGCAATTATTTAAATTCACCACATTAGAGAAAGGCTCATATCTTGGTTAAGGTCCTGTTTATAGATAAAGAGTAATTCTTGATAAGGAAATAGAAAGACACTTCAGGGATTTGGGTTAAATCCACACAAGACAAAAGTGAGTTTCAATGCAATAATGATTTCTTTTCTTAGAAAGAAAAAAAAAAAAGATTGGTGAGCAATTCTGCAAATAAAATAAATTGACAATAAACTGCAGGAATTGCCTCTTGAATAAACTGAGAAAGAAGGAAAACTTATTAAAGATTCTGAAAATTAAACACAGCCTATCTCACATTTTATTTGAGCCCTGTCTATTAAACACAAAAACACATTTTGTTTGAAAACCCCTCATGATGGTAAACAATGCATTTTGTGAAAAATTAACATTTATTAATCTTTGTAGTGTATTATGGAAAATAAGTCTACCCCTTCTTATTTGATACCACACCTTTATTGAGGAGGCAAGAGTGTTAAAAAAATCTCAACACCCAAAAGTCTAGAGATGGTTCAGGCCGAGGAAAAGAAGCAAAAGCACTTACCATAAGTTGTGAAATAAGATTCCTTTCTGTGACATAATGTGACCATCTTGCATTAAGTAAATATAGAAATGAAAAGGAAAAAAAAACACTTCCCTTATAACTACTTCAGGGAGCATGTGGTAATAAAGTTGCGGGACCCCTGTAATTATAAAAAGTTAGTAAAAACATAACCACTTTTATTTAGTAAGAAACAACAACCCAGGTAAGTACATTGCTTTTCTCTCACCTGAACAGTCAAATTCTCCACATGAGCAAGTAATAACTGCAGGTGAGACTTGAACTCGCACCATATGCTTCAAGAGCTCATTTACTGAATGAATCCATTAGCCAATGAGGCTACTAGGTTTTCTGCTACAGGTTTGGTTTTTACATTATTTACATTATTCAGACTGTTATCTTCATCTTCATTGCCATATTCACAATTCTAGTTCCACGTGCTATGCCTCTTCCGGATGTCTCGGTTATTTCCCTTTAACTGAAGTCTCCAAGCTTTGATTCACCACTGCTATGGCCTGATATTGAACTCACAACTCTTTGGGTCTAGTCACTGGATCACTGAGTTCAATACCAGGCCACAGCAGTGGGGGAACCATATAAGAATTTCAGAGTGTTAAAGGGAATAACTGAGACATTTTTAAATTTTAAAGAACTAGAACAATCTACCCTGGTGGACAAAATAAAGGGTTCAGTTCGAAATTCCAATCACCTGAAGTAGTCCAGAGTGTACAACAGTTGAAGCATGATGATGAGGATAAGTCCACATAATGTAAATAATCATAATACCTCATCTCAGAGATATAGACAGGTTTGTTTTGTTTTTTTCTTGTTTTGTTTTTTTCTTGTTTTGTTTTTTTCTTGTTTTGTTTTTTTCTTGTTTTGTTTTTTTCTTGTTTTGTTTTTTTCTTGTTTTGTTTTTTTCTTGTTTTGTTTTTTTCTTGTTTTGTTTTTTTGTTTTTTTTTTTTGTTTTTTTTCATTTGTTTGTTTTGTTTTTTTTTTTTTGTTTTGTTTTTTTTTTTTGTTTTTTTTTTTTTCTTGTTTTGTTTTTTTTTGTTTTGTTTTTTCTTTTTTTTTTTTTTGTTTTTTTGTTTTTCCATGTTTTTTCTGCTTTTGTTTTTTTCAAATGGAAATTAAGCCCTTAAGTTGTTCAGGGTATTCACTGATAAATTTTCTTAATCATTGTTCTGGACATATTTAATGAATTTTGTTCAGCTACTTTATTTCTTTTTTGCTTCTTAGTTGCATCATTTGATGACTAGTGAATGTGCATCAGCTTAAAAAAGAAAAATTATAGAAAATAACAAAAATGAAAACTAGTTGAAAATGTGTGTGTGTGTGTGTGTGTTAACATATTTTTTTTTCTCTTTTCTCTCCAGCCTGAACATTGTAATGCAATCCTGAAGGGCTACGTGGATGATTTGATCAAAAATGGACAGAAGAGACTAATTGCTACTTATGTTGCTACACTTCCCACTTATTGTCAGGCGTTGGCATATGCAAATTTCCTTGAAGGTTAGTGATTCTTTTTCAGGCTTTATTCATACAAATTCTGGAATTTATGTTGAAACTTAAATCCACTGCTCTTTCAATATTTGATGACATATGCAACACCGTTCCCCTCATTTATATTTAACATGACAATAAGTGTTTGGATCAACATTAGCCTATCAGCTACCAAATATCTCAGTTCAACATCAAAGACTTGGAAGATAACTTTCAGCCATTTTGGTTGCAGTGGGTGGAGTCTTGTATGTATGCCATTAATGCCAGTCATTTCTTATGAGCCAATTCTTCCCAATGAGGGCAGCATTTAAATTTTTTCTGATTAAATTCAACATTTTTTTTCTCAAAAATGTAAAATTAGAGATAAAATTTTTAAGCATTTCACCAATGATGATAAAATTTCGAGGTACAGCTTCTTTTTTTCTTTTTTTTTTTTTTTTTGTTATTATTTTATTACTAGTTTTACTCTATCTTGTTGCTTTTTATCGTAACACTCTGGATTGATTCACTCTTTGTTATTCCTATTACTTGATTACTGGTTTTTACTCCATATTCTTGCTTTTAATAACAAAACTCCAGGTTAATATATTTTCTTTGGCTGCTAAAAAACAAGCAGCCCAAAAAGCAAAAATAGTCACTTCTGATGTAACCTGCATCTCATACTTCAGCAGCTTGTTTTTCATAAAAGAACTCTTAAAGGACAATTAATAAAATGCATTGTTTTTATGAATTTGTGACCTATACAGTTCATGTCCTATATCTTGACATCTGAGAACATTTTTTTTTTATATATATATATTTAAGATGTTTGACAGTTGTTTAAAAAAATGTTCCTTTAATATATTGTATGATTTGGTCTGAAATTGCAAAATCTAGAGCGAAATGGATAGAAAACAGATCTATCTTTTAACAGAACTTTGTCAAATTTATAAAAGACAAACCAGTTAAGTTACAAGTGTCCATTTATCTGTTTTGCTAATGTATAGCATGTTTGTGTGAATAGAGAAAAGTTTGAGGGATATTTTTCACCATGACATTTATCAGATGCTCAAACATTGGTGGGGGCAGATAATTATTTTATCTTAAATAGAAAATCAATGAATATATACTAGGTACCTCCACTTTTTCGGCATAAATTTTCAATACCTAAGGTTTAAAATGAATTTCTAAAAATGAAAGAGCATTCTTGAAGCTTTAGCTTTAATTGAAAGGTAAAGGATTAAATTTATTATTTCCAGTAAGTAAAATATTCCGGTGTATTTCAGATAGGTCAAATTTAACTTTGATTTCTTAAAATGAGACATTTTCTTAATTTTAAGAAATTTGTAAGCAAAACAAATTTATCGATTTTAAAACTCTTCAAAACAATATATATTTCTGGCATGTTATTTGAGTAAAATTAGAAAATTTAAAGTTAAATTAATCTGATTTGAAATAAATATTACTTATAGCATGGTCATATACAACCATTTGTTATTGATCAGCTGTGGTTATCTGAAGCAATGATTGATGGGCAATTGAGTGACAAAGCAATGACAGCTAGTATGGCTAGCTAAAATTGACATAAAATTTATGAAATCGAAGAGAATGCATTTATTTATTTTTTTTTTTTTTTTTTTTTTTGGCTTTTAACTACCTAGTAATTTTTACAAATGAATATATTTTCCGCTATTATCTAATAATATATTGACTTTTATTTACCTTTCGAAGATGCTTTACACAAAAATAAAAAGAATTTTAAATACTTTAAAATTTTCTTAAATTAATATCTCTGTAAAGAGACAAAACTCTGAGATCACATGACCTTTTCATAATAATGTCATATTTAGCCTTTCATAGATGAAAAAAAAAGAACAAATTAAGTAAAAAAATAAAAAAAAAATTATTTTTAAAATAGAATAGTGTAACTACGTTTATTTATCTTTTCAATTTTGGATTTGTAAATTACATTTCCACTTAATTACTATATTACATCCAGGAAATAGCCCAATACAGAATTTTACACGATTTTAAACTATTATAAATTATTATAATTAAAATGTAAAAAAAAAAAAATTAAAAAAATTGTAAAAAATTCATTATTCATTGAAAAAAATTATTTCTTCAGACAATAGTGTCCTTAATATAATTTATTTACAAAAGCAATTAAAAGCCTTTCTAATTAAATGATGTCATAGTTTTATTGCATATATTATTTTTCCGTTCAGAGCAGATTTTCAGTTAGAATAGTGTAAGTTTGAAAAAAAATTAGGTGATTTGCATTCTCTAAGGAGTCCTACTTTTAATGAATAAAAAAATTCAGGAAATAGGTTTTTTGTGAAATTTCATGAAATTAAGTGGAGGGGGTAACATGATATGTAAAAAAAAAGAAAAAATTTTACCAAAATTTTCTTTAAGAAAAAATTTCAAAAGTAATTTCATTTGTGAATAAGTCCTGAAAATTTCATTAAAATCGGACAATTATTTGAATTTTACACAAATTTCCAAATCAATGTGTTTTCAATGAAAAAAAAATGTGCAAAAAAGATATTGTAATTATTATGATATCCCGATGATGTAAAGAAAACAAGATTTTAACCAAACTTTTGAATGTGTTAGAATGGATTAAAAAATTTCAAAAAATATTAAAAAAAAACTTTAGTCTTTCATCTTAACATAAACATTTTGACGATAAAACTTTTATTTTTATTAAGTTTGTGGACCTTTTTCATTACACTATATCGTTTTCTGCAAAAAAGTGGAGGTACCTAATACTTTTACTGACTTATGTAAACTTTTTGTTCTTTAATTATAAATAAAATATCTTTGTTTTTTTTTAAAAAAAATAGTTATTAAAAACATTTTTTTTTACACAAAGCAGCTTAGTCCAATACTCTGAAATTTCAGGAATCAAATTTATACTGTATGAATAATGAACATTATTTACAGGACTCCTAAAATTATTTAAAAAATCAGTCTTTTTTTTTTTTTTTTTTCTATTCTGACATGTCACACCTTGATGAAGGTCTATAAAAATTATTTCCAGCAAAAAATAAAAAAAAAAAAAAATGTGGTCAAGCCTACTTCCACCACTGCCCAGTCATTAAAAACCTCTAAACAACAACTTTAATGACTATCAGTTTTGACCTTCTGCTGTCCTAGGGTGCCTAGTTGTTGCTGTCCACTTTATCATTGACAGCCAAGTTTTACATCCCAATATTTAACTGTCCACTGTCATTGCAACCCAACTATTCTCTGTATTCAAACATAGAACTATTATCAATGCTGTCCAAGTATTTGTGTGGCCTTTTTCAGAAATTCTCTCTGGAGAATGTATTAATTCTTCTATGGATGTGCTTTTGTATTTCAGGAATTGAGCAGAAGGAAGAACGACATCTTTATTTGAACTTGGCCAAAGATGCCTGCCTGGATGTACCTGCCATTACAAAGACAGTCGTAGAAAATATTCGCAAGAAGAATAATGAAGACTTACAAGGACAATCAAGATTCACTATTAATACAGCCATCTCCAAAGTAAGACTGGCTTTTTGCTTTTTTCTCCACCCTTGCTCAAACAACTGTAACATTTATGTAGAATAATTAAGTTAGTGAATTTTTTTCTCATGTTTCTTTTTTTCTTAAAATTGACTTCATTAATTTTTTGATTTAAGTATAATAAAAAATGTAATTTCTGCTTTTACCTTAAAATTTGTTTGGTAGCTATCTCTTTGCTGATGGCAAGATGATCAAATTTCAAATATAAACTGTCTATTGAAAAAGAAAATAGATTCAGTTTAAACACAGAAATTTTGACTTGTAGTCTTTTACTCTTACTCATAGGTTGTTGCCAGACATGGGGAAATTAACCATTGCAACACGCATGTCCATTTCACTTTTACTCAAATTGTGCATATGTGGACATTTGCAAGTGTGAATTTTCATTCATTGACAGACCTGAAAATACTTCTATAAAGTGTTTTTTTTATTACTGAATAATATCCAAAAAGTTCAATAAAATCTTAGGTTTTTTGTCACTAACTTTGATTTTATTGCAGGCTGATTGAGAGAGGAATGTCTTATTTCAAATTCAGTCAGGTTGTGTGTGTGTACGTGCACACACAACTTGCATGTATATTAAATGAGACAAGAATATGTGACTCACACAGAGCACAAACATGCACTATATATATATATATATATATATATATATATATATATATATATATATATATATCTTTTGTGTGCATGCCAAGTCACATGCACACAGGATAAGAGGAAAATAGAATCTGCTCTTTTTATATTTAGAATTCTCTTGGTGAGCACCGTATGGCTGAAAAATTGTTGTCAGTACCACTTAGATATCTACATTAACTGAAATCCTATAATTTTGTAGATTAGAAAATGAATGAATGAATTCATTTTGCAGGCTTTTATTCACTTTGTTTTCCTGAGGCAAATTTTTGGTGATTATCATCATCCAAGAAAAAAAAAAAAACATTTACATCATCTAATCATCATCTAATAGAATTAATAATAACATTTCCATTGATAGGTGAGCTGGTCCTCTTTTTAAAACTCAAAAGAAATTATGAATTGGAAATTTGTCAATTCATGTTTGACTGGACAACATTGTCAGATTTTATCAAACCTTCCTACTCTCAATGAGATGACCTGCCATTTAGATTATTTCTAGCAAGTGAAATACAAATTCGAGAATTGACAAAACAGACTTAATTTACTCTTTTCTATTTTCTTAAAATAGACTATAATTCTGGATGTCATTTTAGAGATGACAGTTCAGGATGACATTTTCTATTTAAAAAGAAATTTATGCAAAAATAAACCGTGCTTTTACTTAATGATAGATTACAATTTAGATAACTCTAAAATGATCAAATGATGAACAAGTAGGAAAACCTTTATAAATTTAACATGCTTCGATATTTGTCTATATTTCTGAGATGAGGTATTATGTACACTATTTACATTGCTCGGACTATCATCCTCATCTTTGTTGCCATATTTATCACAACATTTCAGCCATTGTACACACCTTAAGGTAAGGCTTCAAGAACACCAAAAAGTTGTAACATGAGGGGATGTGGAAAAATCAGGTGTGGCTGACCACATATGGTGAGAAAAGGGAAATCACTGCCCTCTGTAGGATCAGGTTGAAATCATAGAACATCATTGGAAAATTTGTAAACTTAAGGAATTGGTACATATGCTAGGCCACAAAAATCTCCTGAGCAGACCAAGCATAGAAATGAATACAGTATGGGAACCAGTAATTAGGAAGGCCAAAGAAAAGCAATAACAACTAAAATTGCAATATGAACTCCGGGGGGGGGGTTATGATTGCTGAAGACGTTAGGTTTATAAGTCCCAGAAATTCATACACAGATGTCCTCAAGGACACATGTCACGGTGAATAAAGGCATTAGTTAAATCCAGTGACAGGACCCAAAGAATGTGAGTTCGATACCTGATTAAGGCGTTGGAGAACTTGGAGAAGGGAATTAACAAGAGATAACTGATAACTGACATCCATTAGATATTGCACATGGAACTAGAACAGTCTACCCCAGTGAGTGAAATAAAGGGTTCAGTTTGACATTCCAACCACCTGAAGAAGGACAGAGTATATAACAACTAAAATGTTGTGATAAATATGGCAATAGAGATGAGAATGATAGCCCGAGCAATGTAAATCGTGTATGCTTTGATATTTAACTTCATCAAAAATTCTTTTGTGAAATAATGTGGAGTTGTTTTAGTTTTTAAATTTTGTTTTCATTGTATTCATTTTCTGGCATTTGTATGTATCAGTTTTGTTGTGTATGTAGGTCTTATGTACCTTTTTAGTGTCTCTGTTTAAATCATGAGATTTTAGACTGCTCTATGTATTTTTTTTTTTTAAATTGTGTATATTATTGTATTTTACTTACATGATAAATATAACAAATGTTGAATGTGACTGTGATACTTGGTTATATCATCTGAAAAGGTTTGGAAAGGTTTTACAAATATTGGTTGTATAAGAAAAAAATTAATGGCATAAATAATTTTAAAGCACTGATAATGAGCCATAGGAAAGATCAAACTCCAATATCTTGTTCTGTCAGTTGACTTAAAATACTGGAAATTATTTTATATTTTTCTTTATTTTACTTGCAGGAAGACTTAGAGAAAATTGAAGCCATTGATTGGTTGGTATTTGACCAATCACAGAGATCAGAAGCCATTAGACAGGCAAATGCTGTCATGAGAGGATTCCTGGGTAAGCATTTTAAACATTCTTGCAATACTACATTTAACTTATAAATTGCAGAGTTTGACAAAGGAAAGCCAAAACCTACAACTTCATTCTATCAGCTCCTCCTCTAGGATTTTTTTTTTATTTATTTCTCTTCAACTGGAATGGGTGTGGCTAACCTACATCCAGGCCAATGGCTATGAGTCTATATCTGGTCCCACAGTTACCTGTCTATATCTGGATCTTTCTACTATTGAAGACCCAACGAAATATGTTTGTTTTTTATCTATTGTGATCTGATGAATATTAATGAAAATGCCATTGAACACACCTGCATTTCTTTCTAATTATACACCCAATGTGTCTGTTTTTGCTCAGTAAGTACTCAGTATCCTCTGTTTTCAATCCCCAATGCAAACTGCTGTTAGGAAAGGCATGAATCCTTCTTTCTCCAGCTATGGGTTAAATAGTAAAATAGACTTGGCTTTTGAGCTTTGAGTGACATCCACTCTAAGTGAAAAACAACTCTGAATTCAAAACCATGGAAGAATCAATAGGAACCCTGCCAATATCTTTCCACAAGAAGTCATGGGAATTCAGATATTGGTGAAAAGGAAGATCATTTCTGTCCTAAAAGGACATGGCATTATGAGTTACAATCCCCATAGGGTGCATGATTTATTCTTTAAGTAGCTTGGTGTCATAATAGAAACTATATTCTTTAATATATTTTTTTTTTTTTTTTTTAAAAAAAAAAGAGATATTGAACTGAAGAAAAAAGATAAAAAGTTTGAATTAAAATGGTTTTTAAAGTGATAAAATATATTGTGTAGTTACAAGAAATTGAACCCCAATTGAGCTCAGTAAAATTGGAAATTGTTTATATGGAAATTAATTCCTTAATAAAATCTTAACAAGATTTAGAGATCTAAAAAGAACATTGAACACTGCAATATTAATTGGTTGATTTAAATTATTTTTCCCCAGAAATGCATTATTTCTTACCAAACTTGTCAGTCGTAAAAGCTGATTGATGCAATAAAAAACCAACTGGTTTCATTAGTTGCCGGAACCTTGATTCAACAGAATTAAAACGTCAATGGATTTTGATAACTTAACAATCCATCAAATTGCTAAAAGATTATTATGTAAAGAAAAGCATCATTGCCTCTAAAGAGTTCTCAGTTGCCTTGTGTGTCTATACAAATCCTTGCTGCCTGTGACTATAACACTAGTGCCCTGTAATTTGTTGTTCAAAATCAAGAAAAGGGAAAATCAAGTTCCTGCCTCACAGATGAGTCTCTGCAATCAAAGACAGACAAAATGCAATGAAGTGTATGAACCAAGAAGCCTGCCATGACTATTATAGCTGCCATTATTAGAAATTTGGCCCACCACAAATCCACAGACAATTAGAGACTTAGACAATCTACCAATCAGCTTTGAAGGCTGGACCATCAATTACGGATATGAGAATTTATAGCTACAAATTTGGCATGTCTCTTAATGGATGAGAAATTAATTTCATTGTCTAGTATATTTTGAATTACTTATCTAAAGTTTCCAATATATACATATTTTTAAGAAAAGAATATTTGGGTGGTATTTGGAGCTGTTTTTTGAAACTGCAATAATTTAATCAGGAATTAATTTTTATCATGTAAACTAGTTTTCCTCTATAAAAGTTAAAACTGGAAACGCAGGATAGAAAATGTCTGAATATTTGCACTTGCAGAATTTCTCAATCCTCTTCAAGATTTGATAATATTTGTTTCCTCTGTAGATCATTAAGTAAGGACAATCTTGATTGCGATATATTTGTTGTTCTACCTGATCCATGTATTTAAAAAGTTGTTTTCATTTATATATATATATATATATATATATATATATATATATATATATATATATATATATTTAATATTTTTTTTTTTTTTTTTTTTCAGCTACAAATAAATCTGCTGCTGCTCGCCAGGTATTTGAGAAACTCCCTGCCGATTCAGTTGATATTGTTTACCAGAACAGATACAGGGAGGTTAGCAAACATTTCTATGAATTTGGGTCAGATTTCATGCATAGATATCAGTTAAAATTGTTTAAGGATTTTAATATAAATATCTTCACGCTGCCTTTTTGAAATTGAGTTTTTATAACCACATGAAGAAAATGTCTATGCTTCAACCTAAACTTGAAAATGACTTAAAAGCAATTGAAAGTTGAAAATGACTCTAAAGCCTTTTGCAGGAAAAAAGCCAAACTTATTGAAATAAGTTTTTATTTTGACCTATTAATGGCTATCATAAAATCCATTTCTTATAATAGTTTAAAATAAAAATCCTGTATTAATAGGTTTAAAAAAGAAAAAATAATTTGCTAACTGTAACAAAAGAGAAAATCACCTACCTCAAAAAAGAATTTGTGTTTTGTGTGTGGTCTGCCAAACAAAAATTAAAGAAAATAGTTAGCAAAAACCTTCTTCTTTAAGTATCAGAGAAACTATGCTAATGTTCTTTTCCTCCGTGAATGGTGTGGCCAATCAGACAAATAGCTTGGTAAATAAAGGCTGTTGCTTTTGCTTACCGAGGACAGAAGGCTTTTTGAGCTTGGTGAATGTGAGTGTAGTTCTGCTGCAAAGGAAAGGTTGGATTTCTGACCCTGTTTTTCATTACTGCATTACCTGCTGGACTGTTTACAACTGATTTGTGATTGAACTTAGTGTTGGCACCTGGATTTTTTTCCCCTGTTTCTACAGACCCAATTGGTTGATACCCAAACATTAACCCTTACAAGTTTCTAACACTTGCCCATTAATTCTGCCTGTCCCATTTTCAAGATGGTAAGCATTCACAGTATAAGCTAGAAAAAGAAAATTGTACAAATACATCATAAATTTTTTTTTTTTTTTTTTTTTGGTCATTGAGACAACAATAATTATTTCACCCCACCTCCATATCACAATTTTGTGTGCTTTGATATAATTCGATTCTTTTCTATTTCTTCTAGATTGGCTCCAGGGACCTTGGACCTGATGACAGCAATGCTGTTCGAGAGCACTTATGTATAAAAGCATGTTTGGTAAGGATTCCATTTCTAATTGATGTTGTTCAAGTTTTGTAGACTTTCTAATTCACCCATATCTTAATTGAAATGTTTTGTTCGTATTTTCCATTTGTTTGTCTTTCAATTCAACTTCCTTAATCTGACCAAAATTTGATCAAAAGATTTACAAGCTGGGTTTTTATCAAAATATGTAAGATTCAAGACCACGAGTTTTTGCTGTAATTGATAATCTAACCAAATTTAAGCCCCAAGGAAAATGGATTATTGGATTCATTTTGATATTTAAACAATATGCAGGAGTTGTTTTCACAATTTGGTTAATACTAATATGTAACAAAACAGTTGATGACATATCATGTGGTAATGATAAGAAGGCCTTTCTGGTTGACCATTATTACTATGTAGTGATTTTGTTCCTCATTGGGTACCCCACACAAATTTCAACATTCTATATCTCTAACAAGGGTTGCCATGTCATAAAATTAACTAGCCTAACCAAAACCAAGTAATCTCATAAGGAAGCATTTAGATTTGATCAATTTCTCTCAAGTCCGCAATATAAGCCAATATTAACTGAAAGCCAGATGTGTTAAGCAATATCTCCCTCATGGTTGAGATAGTTACATATTTTCTCACCAGTATCATTGGTAGTGTTGAAATCCATGTAAGAAAATTACAAATGCCACATTTTCAATGTGGGTTTCATCACCTCCCCCACTATTGCATGGAAGGCTGGCAGCACAAATATCTACATTTTGGTTTTGTCTAGCCCTAAATCACTGTGATTACCTTGACTGACCAGGTACTGATTCAGCCCCACATTTTTGTTTTGCTCCACTGACTGGGCAGGCAGACTTTTGCACTGATTCCAGCTGTACGCAGGTTTTGACTTCACTTGTCTTCTCCTAGACTGGTTGGCAACCAAGCTCAGCTTATCCTTCTATATAACCCATTGCTAATGGGGTTGGAGGAAGAGATGTATTCATGCTTTTCCTAAGGATATTTCAATGACTTTGGCCAGAATTTCAATTTTGCATCCTGGTCCTACTTTATATATTGATAACTGCTACGCAACGATCAGGATCAATAAGGTTACCAGGTGAAAAATCGAGCAGCAAGAATGGAAACAAGAAATAGCCAATAACCAATTTACACCCATAGATAAACTTCATCATGAGATCCCTTTTCTTTATTATATGATAGTGGAGTGTTTTTCTGTTATATTCTCTGCCATTTTGAATTGCAGGAGGAATGGTTCTCCTAGACTGGTTGCCCACCAAGTGTAGCAAGACCATTCTACCCTTCTATTTCCCACCCGGTCAGTGGGGCATCAGAATACGCCGACTGCCCCCCTAGCTGCAGAGGGTAAAAGTCCCTTAATGGGGCCACCTGTTGGCCGTGGGTGGCAACCCATAATGTCTGGGGACGGGATCCTGGTGGTTGAGCAGGTCGCAACCCAGGTGTAAAGTGGTCACAACCCTGCAACACACCACTTTGGCCCTTACCTGGGCTAGACGGGCGGTTGGAGGGGCCTGATCTGATCAATCGGCTGGTCATGTCAAGCCCCATCATATATAATCCACCCCAAACCTATAACTTACATACCTCTTCCCAACCAAAACTAACACCTACCCCTAAATATATGATGGAAGGCGGTGGCTGAGGGTCAATCAATTTGGGAGAAAAAAGGATCTGACACACCTGCTAAACCTTCACAGTTGTAAAACTTGGATAACGGAAATAATGGAACACGTGTGCTCAAAGACTCCTCCCAAAGAGTGTATACCATTCACGTAGCCCCGACATGGCAAGGCGAATGGGTTTTCCCCTTGTCATGTCCCAATACTGGACTCCGTGGTGGGTAAGGAGTGTGGATAATGAACAAAAATAAAAACAATCTTCCAAGAGACCACATGTGGATAACGACTCTGAAACAGAAAATGATAATGAAAACTTTCCATGATTTATTGTTCTAGAAGCAATAAGCAACAAAGCACTAACTGAAATATCTCCATTTAAAATACAAAAAGCAATATCAAATATCATCATACCAAAAAATGTAAAAAAAACTACAAAATGGAACATTACTAGTGGAAAAAAAGATATATGCAGATACACTAACAAGACAAAAAAAATTACAAGAAATAGAAATAAAATCCTACCCACACCAAACCCTAAATTTCTCAAAGGGTGTAGTAAAAAGCAAGGAGCTCTCCCTGTGCACTCTAGAGGAGATAAAAATAGATCTTCAAACTCAAGGTGTTAAAAATGTCAAAAGAATCACGATAAAGAAAAATGAAGCAGAGATACGAACTAATACCTACATTCTAACTTTCAACTCCCCCCAAATTCTGACAACAATTAAAATTGGATATGAAAGTATAAAAGTAGAACAATACATACCAAACCCTCTTCAATGCTATAGATGCCACAAATTTGGGTATCACAGAGATTCTTGTAGAAATAAAAAAAATATGTGGAAAATGTTGTGAGAAAGAACCAGAACATAAAGAAGAGGACTGCCCAAATGAGAGCCTATGCTCAAACTGTTTGGGAAACCACTCTGCCCTCTCAAAACAATGTAGTATCTACAAACAGGAAAAAGAAATAATAATAATAAAACACAAAAGAAATATATCTTTCTCAGAAGCACGAAAAGAAGTTAAACATAACATAAAAGAAAACACCTATGCCTCCATGGTACAAAAAGCAAATAAAATAAACAATGAAGATAAAATAAAAGATTCAACTGAAATAACAAATTTATATAAGGAATTAAAAGCTTTCCTTGAAGAATTTAAAACCTTCTTAATCGAACTTAAATCAGATCAAAATAAAACTCAACAACCCAAATCAAATGGAATTAACCCAGAAGAAGGCAAAAAACTGTGGAAAGAAAACATAGAACAAAACTCCAGCGAACCCTCTTCTTCCCAAACCCAAATCAAGAAAATGAAAAATAAACAAAAAGACAAAAAAGTGACAACAGAACAAGAAAACATTTGATCAAGATCTAACACAAAATCAAGAATCAATATATCAAATGAAAATAAATTTGAACCTCTGGAATATATGGAAATAGAAGAGAATGAAAATAAACAAATTCCAAAACAAAACCAAAAATCTGACCAAAGGACACCACAAGCAGTTGAAGATAAAGATTCAAAAAACCCAAGAGCTGGAAAAAAACTGGAGAGGACAAATGATATAAACCTAGTAGGTAACTTTACCCCCAAAAAATGAAAATATAACCATGGCACATAAGATCCTGCAATGGAACTGTTGTGGAATAAAATCTAATTGCAATGACCTACTCATACTTATGTCACTATTGTATCCAGCCGTTATCTGCTTACAGGAAACTTATTTACAAGAAAATGATAAATTAAAAATTATAAACAATATCACTATAACCACAATACAGGACAAAAAAGCTAATGGAGGAGTATCAATATTGATTAGAAATGACATACACAAAGTAAAGTAAAGTACACATTAAAACTAAATTACAAGCAATAGCAACACAAGTGACACTAGATAAAACCATCACAATTCTTTCCATTTATATACTCCCACAAGAACCAATAAATACAACAGAAATAAACAACTTAATGGAACAACTTCCTAAACCCAGAATCTTACTAGGAGACTTTAACAGTCATAATCCTATCTGGAATAGCAAAAAGCTAGATACTAAAGGTAAAATATTAGAAGAAATAATAAACACCCATTTATGTCTATTAAATCCTAAATCCTCGACCTACCTTAATCCCTCCAGTGGATCAGAATCCAAGACTTAAATATCGATCCAGAAATTTGTATGGACTATACATGGAAAACACACAACACATGTGGCAATCATTCTAAAAAATCAAAGCCTGCCAAGTGTGACGGTTACACACCTGGCCCAGGTCGGATCCTTTCTGGCGCCAACAGTGGCGTCGCTCCTCCTGGAGAACCCCTTGGTCAGATGATCACCAGCCTCGCCTTTCCCGACTCGCTTCAATACCTGGTCACTAAAGCAACTGTATCTGTCTACCCACGCTGTGTTTAGATCTTAGACAGACGGGACCAGCAGGGATTGGGGCCGATACAAGTTGAGTCCGACGGGGTGGCAAAACACAAAAAAAGAAAAATAAACTCACGAGACAAAAAAAATTGCTGATGAAAAAAAAAGGTAACAACCTTTTATATCTTAATGTCCGTTACATAAAAACAAAATTGTTCTCATTTCCCGACCCGCTCTGTGGACTATGGCAACAAGCTTCTATCACACAACCTAAAAGATTTCGAATTGCCTACTCTTTAGAATTGTGTATGTCGGAGTGTGGTTTGGTTCACACTGGGGCTAATTTCTATCGATCATTCGCAGTTGATTCTTCTCTTCGACTTGAGTTGTATTTCTTCTTCTTTTAGGCTTCGAAGTTTTCTTGTTTCGCTGGAAGTTCTCTTGTCTTCGACTTGGGCTGGAAGGATCTCTTGCTCAGCCGCAACTCTCTGTCGTCCGAATCTCTTCTACGCTGCCGTCCGGGGCTGAACTCTTCTGTCTTCGATTGGGCTGGAAGGATTTCTTGTCTGAGGATTCTTTTGCCCGCAAAGGAATCCCGGGCCCGATGCCCGCGTTCAGGCTCTTTCCCTGCCAGCGCGGTCCAGCTGCAACTCCACTCCAACTGATTTCTGTCGACTGGGGTCCTGCTTTTATTGACGCCAAGAACAAACTTGGGTCTGTCGGCGTCAGGTTTTCTCAATAACTCCAAAAGTCGCATTATTTTTTCTCCATTTCCCATTATCGCTATTGTTTTCACCCCTACTTCCTCACAGTGCCTCTTTTGTCAGGAGGTTCACCCATCTCTCTTAGTCTCTCGTATGTCAGGTGACCGTTTTTCACCAATGGTTCCTGATCGGGCATTTCTTTCTTTTCTTTTCCGCAGACCACGTGACCGTTTTCGGCTAATGAGACTCTGGTTGGGCGTTTTCCTGCAATCAATCGGGGCGGGGTTATATCGTTCTTGTTCTAAAAAAAACAAAATCTAATTTGGCCTTTTTTTCGCACGTACGAAAAATGATAATCTTAGCTTTTTTCTCACCTGGGTTTTGTCAACACAGCCTGCCGCTAATTAGATGTGACTTCAGGGAAGAATATTGGCGCTATCTGTGAACTGAGACAATCGTTTTTTTTTTCCTCTTGTTTTTTTGTCAGACCCGGCAGTCAGAAAATCTTAATTTATCTGAATTGAAAATATCTTTCACTTTCGTCAATGTGGGGGTTCTAATTTTTAACAGGTCAGAATCTGTGTACAATTCCACCGGTCACTCCCCCTCAACCCAAAAACACTTTTTCTCTGATTAAGATTTCGTTTTCATTGTTCCCAAAAATTTCCCTTTATCCAAATTGATAAGGTGTCTTTCTACAAAAAAGTAGGCTAGATGCTTTGACCGATATCTGGTTTTCATCAAGCGGCCCGTTTGATATCATGTCTTTTTCCTTTCTTTCTTTTTTTTATTATTTCTAATTCTATTCTTCCAATTGTCTTTAAAAAAAATTCGGTCAACATGCTAGCTAAAGATATCTTTCTGACTCGTGTTTTTGTTAATGACCGCTTTTGTATTTCTCGACCTCTCTTTTTTGCTTTTTTCTCTTTTTTTTTTCCTCTTCTTCCCTTAGGATCGTCCAAGTACAATCTTAGTGAATTATTTTCAACTCAATTATTTTCCGTTTTAAAAAAAAATTAACAACCTGTTTAGTAAACCGAAAGAAAAAATTAAATCATATATCTATGAATATTTCTAATAATGCAAGGTGCCACACAAGGAAGAAAATATAGGCCCCGTCAGATGGAAACTGAAAAGAGCCAACTGGGAGGGCTTCAAAAACAAATGTAAACAATTACTGATACAGTCAAAAGACACAGACAACTCGATAGAATACTTTACCTAAACATTAATAACCATTGCCTCAGAAAATATACCAAAAAAAGCAAAATAATTATAAAAAAAAACTAAACCCTGGTTTGACAAAAACTGCCAAAAAGCAGTCAGAAACCGGAAAACAGCACTGAAAATTCAAAAAGGAACCCACAACCCAAAATTTGATTGAAATGAAAAAAACTCAAAGTAGTAGCACGAAAAACTGTTAAAGAAGCCAAAAGGGAATGTTGGAAAAATATGTAAACAGCCTAAATACACATTCCAAAACCAAAACAATATGGGAAATGATGAGAAAAATAGCTGGAAAAAATCAAATACACCCAATAATACATCTTAAAAAGAACAACACTAAAGCAACCAGCAAAAAAGAGATAGCAAACCTACTAGCAGAGACATTTGCAGAAAACTCTAAAACAAATAAAAATCAAAACCTACAAAAGTATAAACAAAAAGATATAAATAACCAACTAAATTTCTCATCTAAAAATACAGAAGCCTACAACAATCTATTCACCGAAGCAGAACTAATAGAAGCCATAAAAAAATCCCACAACACAGCAGTAGACCCAGACCAAATCCACTATGAATTTATTGAACAATTACCACAAGAATTGCTGAAATACCTCTTAAAATATTTTTAACAATATTTGGACAACTGGGAAATTTCCCAAAATATGGAGAGAATCGATAATTATTCCCATACTCAAAGAAGGAAAAGCGGGGAAACAATCCACAAAGTTACCAACCAATAGCATTAACAAGCTGTTTATGTAAGACAATGCAGCGAATGGTCAACGCCAGATTGAGTTGGTTTCTAGAAGAAGGAAAACACATATCAAAATATCAATGTGGATATAATAAAGGAAGAAGCACAATAGATCACATAATAAGACTAGAAACAGCCATAAGAGAGGCCAATTTAAACAAACAACATCTAATAGCCATATTCTTTGATTTTGAAAAAGCATTTGATCAAACCTGGAAACTAAAAGGATTTTTAACAGATAGACTCTTTTAAGTACAAATAGATGTTACACTATCTGATTATCAAAAGCAAGAAGAGGGAGTACCACAGGGAAGTGTACTCTCCCCTACACTTTTCAAAATAAAAATAAATGAAATAATAAAAAACATCAAACCAGGTATATACTGTAGCCTTTACGTTGATGATTTTACAATATATTACAGATCGAGAAACCTCAACACAGCAGAAAGACAACTCCAACAATGCTTACATCAAATAAACAAATGGACACTCGAAAATGGTGTTAAAATATCAAAAACAAAATCTGTACACTTCTGCCAACTGAAAAAATTACACAATAACCCAACTCTAAAACTAGGAAATGAAGAAATACCAGTAGTTTAGCAATATAAATTTCTAGGAATTATCTTTGACAGCAAACTGACCTTTAGACCACATATCAATTACCTAAAAATAAAATGTTTTAAAGCTCTCCAACTACTGCGAACAGTAGCCCATACAGAATGGGGTGCTAGCAAAGAAACCCTTCTTAAACTTTATAGAACGTTGATCCGTTCCAAATTGGACTATGGCAGCATGGTCTACCAATCAACTAGAAAGTCCTATCTAAAAACAATAAACACAATACACCATGAAGGCCTTCAGATAGCTCTAGGAGCCTATCCCACCTCACCTATAGAGAGTCTACATGTGAGGCAAATGAACCCCATTACAACTAAAAAGGAGAAACTAGCAACTCAATACTATCTAAAACTCTCTTCCTGTCCTTCTAACCCCACACACGATTGTGTACTTACACCAAATCATAAAGAGAAATTTAATCTTAACACAAATAAAATCAGAACATTGGGACTCTGAATGGAAGGAATCATCCAAAAAAATAATATACAGTCTAATCAAATACTTAAAACCAACCAATCAAACATACCACCATGGATAATCAAAATCCAAACATAATATTAAGTTTAAACAAATTATCAAAATCAAAAACACACTCCACAACATACATTGAAAAATTCTCAAAAATAAAAGAAAAATATCAAAACTACGAAAGTATTTACATGGACGACTCAAAAGACGAAGAAAAAACAGGCAGTGCAGCAATAAGAAAAAAAACAATTATCAAAAAATGCTTGCCAAATGAAGCATCAATTTTCAGTGCAGAAATACACGTTAAAACTAGCACTAAATTTCATATCAAAAAACAAAGGAGAAAACTATATTATTTTCTCAGATTCATTATCTGTATTAACATCCCTAAAGGGGGGGAAAAAACTGGAAAATCCATTGATACAAAGTCTTCTATATAAACTACATTCCATGGAAAAAAGCAAAAATATCATCTTCTGCTGGATTCCTAACCATGTCGGCATCCAAGGAGGAGACAAGGCAGATACTGCTGCTAAATCATCTTTAAAAATGACAATAGACGAAAATCTTCAAATTCCATATACGGACTTAAAATCTAAAATAGATAAATATATAAGGAACAAATGGCAAAATTCATGGAAAAACCAAACCGGAAATAAACTATTTCAAATTAAACCTAAAATAGGAAAATGTGGAAATAATCTTGGAAATACTCGGAAAAAACAAGTCATTATAACCCAAATGCATATAGGACACACATACTTAACCCATTCTTGTATATTAAAAAAGACAAATCCACCAAAATGCAGATGTGGAAGCCTAATCACAATAAAACATATCCTATTGGAATGCAAAACCATAACTAAAATAAGACAATAATATCTCGATGGAAAAGGCTTAAAAGAAATTTTCAAAAATACAGACACAGATAAAATATACAACTTTCTCAAAGAAATCAAGATCCTCAACAAAATATAACCCTTTCAAATAGTGTATATGTATGTGTATATGTGTTTATAGACATGTATATGCATGCATGGATGTAGATATGAAAATACATAATCAGAAATAATCACAAGAAAAAGCAATCCAAAAAAATACAGTAGATTATGAAACCCAACAGCCTCCCAACCTTTTATACAATATAACCATCTTAAATACATAAATAAATAAGGCTTCGGCATAAAATGACCCAAATAGGAGTTGACATGCCATTAAATCCAACATCCATCTATTTCTAGCTTGGCAAAGAAATGGATTCATGCCTCTTCTTTTTTTTTTTTTTTTTCTCCACCAAAGGGCAATTCTGTAGAAGTGAACATAACAAACTAGACCAGAATTTAAAATTTTGCTGATTTCCTTTTCTGTGCCAATAATACATCCATAAGATAAAATTCAGCAGAAAAGCCATTACAAAAATAAAGAAGAAAAAAAGACAAGCAAAAAGAACGTCTGCTATGGCAGAACAGAAAATGGGTAACAGTGATGTTTGGTGACAATAGAAAAACAGAACTATTACAAAAGTCTGTGTGAAAAGCATTTGGTACAAGAAACTATCCCAGATATTCAAGAGAGATTGACAGTGCAAGTCTAAAGGTTTGGGGGTTGCATAAAAAAACGTGGTGCATGAAGATTGAGAAAAATAGAATACTGAACAGTGAAAAAAGTATATTACTTTACTAAAATGCTACATGTTACTAAATGTAACAAGAGTTGAAATATTCCAATATTACATTGCCTCACATGTGCAACAAACAAGTTCCTCACAAATGAAGATGTTTCAGTGTTGCAAGACTGGCCTATCTAAACTGTATAGTTTGTCAAATTGACGCTATAATCTGTGCTAATGAGATCCATGTCCGTATTAAGTAGAGAAGTAAATTTAATTCTATTTTTCCTCTTGTGGATCATAACTTTTGAATGCTTGTTTCCAGAATAACCAATGCATTCAGTTCTCTCTTTGTACTGTGTATCTATGTGTATACAACAACTTGGACAACAGTCCAGAATGATTACAGATGCCTACTCCTAAAAGCTTCTCAGTAAAAAGTTAAATAAATTGCTTCCTTTTTGTTTTTGAAGTGGCTCGTTTCTTTTCTGTATGAAATATGAAAGGTATTATTTAAAAAAAAAAAAAAAAACTCTGTCATAAGAGTTGATGTTTTGTTAAATGATATTTGTAAGCCCAACACAGACATTTTATTTGCAGGATGCCATTGAGTCTTTTAATGACTGGTTTGAACTCTATCATCGTGGCAAGCCAACACCACCAGAGTCTCCTGAAGGCGGCAACTTTACAGAACGCATGGCATATGACCACCACATGAAATTGTATGAAGCTGAATTTGATCATTGGAGACATGGCTTGGAGTTACAGACTAAGGTCAGCTCCTTCCTTTTGGATTTTCATCATTTTTGCCATTTCTCGTTTGTTTTTTTTTTTTTGTTTTTATTGTTCTTTTTTTTTTTTTGTTTGTTTTTTTTGTGCGCTTTTGTGTCATTTATTCTTATTCCTATTTTGAAACTCAGTTATGTGTCCTATTCTGTTGAAGGATAAAACCCACATTTATTTAATGTCACATTTTTATATTGGTCATGCAGGCATATATATCTTAGTCAAGAGACATACCAATAAGATTTTAAAGTCTGGTTCTGCTTTCTACTTAACTCTGTAAACATTTTTTTTTTCTGTTTTCAAAAATAAATCATTTTCATCAAAAGTTAACAAACATTGCCTGATGACGGGATAAAAAAAAATTTTAAGTCCCGAAACACAAATTTTCATGTCTCAATGTAAAATATTTTTAAATAAAAAGATTATTAAAAAATATTATGCTCTATGTTACATTTAGCACCTTTTACAAATTAAATGCTAAAGAACTGTAGATTCTAAATCTGTTCTTTCTCTTAATTCATCGAGTCTAGAAGAAACCTCAACAGAATGCAGAAAGCACTGGACGCCCGTTTGGTCCTATATTTGGGGATCATCAGCAGTGCGCATCCACTACCGAGAATTGAAACCCTGACAGGTTATCAGGCAAACGTCATACCAACTGGTCCTATGGTTATAGAGAATCTTGGTTGAGTTCCACCACGGAATATACAAAACGGCCGTCCAGTGCTTTCTGCATTCTGTTGAGGTTTCTTTCAGACTCAATGAATTACTTATCTATATATATATATATATATATATATATATATATATATATATATATATATATATATATATATATATATATACATACACACACACACACACACCTGACTACATAAACTTTGAATTTAATATATTAGATAAAGAGTTACTTTTAAATCTCTAAATTTATTATTATTATATTTTATGTCTTTTATATTTATTGCATTTTACATTTTTGTTTTAAGACAACAAAGAACCGGATTTACAACATTTTGTTATTTGCTGATGGTGGTTGGATGGTTGACCAGTTTGAAGTAAGTTTTTCTATTTCTCATTTTGTTTTCCAAAGTAGAATTGCAGTTTTTGTGGATGGTTACTACCATGGTTTTTCATTATACACAAGGAAGTGAGCAGGACTAAAATGGCACTCACTTATTTCTTATGTGATGGCAAATTTTTTGTAACATGTTTGAAGAAAATCAGATAAAAAATGAAGAAGTTATTCAAGTTTAAATTTTAAGTAGTACGAAAAACCTGATTTATTTGTTTTTTTTTTTTTATTTTTTTTTTTTTTTTTCAATTTTTTCTGTGAAGCTAATGTTGTTGCAAAACTATCAAGAAATCTATATAAACCTTGTGACATGAGCTGTTTTACATTAAGTGCAAAGAACATCAGCTCATCCAGTAAAAGTTTTGTTCACGTGTAACTTTGCTTTGGTTTTTGCAAAAAGTTGTACCCACCTTTAGTTTTATCAATTTTTCTGCCAAATCCAGGAAGTCTGGAGATTGAAAAGTAGGTTTTGACCTAAGTTGGTAAATTTGCAACATGGGTGTACAGTTTCATCGAAATCTGTCAAGAAATGTGGACGTGCATAAAAAGCACACACACATTTTGAGTTTTATAGATTGCTCTCATAAGCATATGAAAATGATACAATATTCTGCTTATTTAGAACTGGGGCTTTGATTCAAATTTGGCAGAAAAATTGATAAAAAAATTGGACAAGCTATTCTTTATGATGGATATTGAATTAACTGCAGATATGAAAACTGACCAAGGGGAATTGAGTGAGGATATTATGAATCATCTCAGATATTTGGTCAAAGATTACCATCCCTTCATCCAGAGGACAGTAGAGAGCAGAACCGAATGTGGTACTATGGATAAGTGGCATGCAGGAGCACGTATACGGGTTCCTTGTTTTTTGCATCCCTGCCATAGGGAAAATCATCCTCGTAGGCTCCAAGTCCATCGCCATGACTATTTAGGTGGTCATGTTTGACTATAAGAGGTGAGTAGCCTGGTTCTGTGAACTCCCCCTGTGAGCAGGAAATGTTGATAAGTTTCGGAAAGTAACAGGAGGTCTGGTTTAGATTGGAGATGGTGTTCCACTTCTTGAAAATTGGAACGTAGACCCCCTTACATCTGTGTAGGAGATGATATGCGAGAGATCTACTTTGTTTCTTTAGCTTGGGTTTGATAGTTTTGTTCATATGAATTTTGATTGATTTCATGTATGCTTTGGTTGGTGGAAGACTGGTAGGCAAAGAGACAGACACCTGCAGGAGTTGCTTGTGTAAATAACTTGGAGAGAATTGTCCAGTGATACAGCAATAGCAGTACTCGTTGTCATGGCATCGATAGGCCCCACCAGAGACTACTGCACGGTCAAGAGACCTTTCACAAAATGACAGTACAATAGCCCCAATATTATATACCTGCTGATAGGATAGCCACCTGCGGAGTTACATGAAGGTTTGGATCCCTTACTATAAGGCGGATAATGCCAAAATCCAGAAAACATCTACCTCCAGCACCTTTTAATGAAGGGACAATCAACACAAGAAAGAAAATACATGTGTGATGCTCCATGTGAATGTTGCAACTGCCCAGAAGTCAACAGAACTCCTCCTTGGATCAGAAACATTACCAGGCATTGAGACAAGCTTGCTCATGTACATGAAGACAAAGAGACCCAGTGGAAGAAACAGGGTTAACAAGTGTTGCTCAGGGGATGCAAATGCATCTCTTACCCCCATTTTAATTAATATAATAGATGGTTACAAGGACAGGGGCACATGCAATGAGCATGTTATCTATTCAAGAGAACAAAAAATTCAGGCTCACTAAGGAGAGGCATTATTGTTCAGAGGGAGGGTTAGGGTCAAGGACAGTGAAACAACTATAAAGTTTTCAAGTTTTAATTTAGCATAAGTCCCAGTATCCACATCTTTTTCTTTTTTTTTTTTTTTTTTTTTGAAAGGGGATAGACTCCACCATAAGACAGTAATTTAAGGAAAAAGAAGACAGAAATTAAAGAATAATTAAAAAAATGGCATGAGGAATTTCTTGCAAGATCTTTACCAAATGTGTGGCAGACACAGAATATTACTGGCACTTTTGTGGGAGGGGAAAGGGACTGGCTGAGAACAATGAACTACCCTACTAGTATAAGTGTGGGGTAAGAATTTTTTTTCTCCATTTTACTTTTTTTTTTCTTCCTGAATTTTCCTGTAAATATGCTACCCCTTTTAGAGCATACAGTATTTGCTCGACAGTGAGTTTACTATGCCAAGAAAACTAACATTAAATATGTGATCAACATTTAAAACTAATTTAATGAAAAAATGGTCAACAACTAGCATTAATTTAATGAAAACACACACACACACATATATATATATATATATATATATTGTAACCCAGATATAAGAGAGATTTTCTCTGGTCCCAAATTAGAGCCTGTGTTAATGTATATAAAATAGACCAAACCCGGATATAAGAGACTTCTTCTCCGGTCCCGACAACTCTCTTATATCCGGGTTACACTGTATATATAATTTCCTGTGCAGAGGATGATGTGCCAGTAGTGTAATGAATGAGAAGCCAGGGAGTTAAGTTTGAATTATGGCAAAGTTTGGTACATTTACTTTAGTGCAAATACCTTTGGGGAAATGTATGGATCCATTTCCTCCCTGTTTTGAGTTAAATAGGCCTTGTACAAACAAAATCCTTATCCCCAAAACAAAAATTGTTAATGCAATATTCACTCCCCCTAAAAGAAAAAAAAAGTTTCTTGCAATCTTAAATATATTTCAGCTCTAAATGACCCACAACATGTTAATGAGCTGTTAAAAAAAAGAAAATAATCTGTCAATCCTTGCCAGAGGGAGGTGGGAATCCTTTGAGGTATTTATAAATCTTTCTTGAGTATAGCACAAGGCCAAACGAGTGAAAATGGGACCTGAATAATTAGTGTAACACCCATCATCTCTTTAGAAGCAATCTAGTAAGCCAGTATTCAAAATCTTTTTTCAGCCCAAATGAGTTGTATTTCTTCTTAATTGCAGAATGAAACAATTGATGACAGTCGAGAACAACAAATGAAACTGTTGCGTCAGTTGTGCATTCCCAAATTTATTGTTCAATTGCATCAGATTCTGCATTCCACTGAGCAGTTTGTTGAGTGCATGCAGTTAGCAGAGATCCTCACTTTGGAAAAGAATGGACTCTATCAGGTTGGTTTTTTTTTTTTTTTTTTTTTTTTCTTTTTGTCATATACTATTTTTCACATCTGTAATGGGTTTTTTTTTTTTTTTTCTTTTTATGTTTTGTGATTGTTTACTTTGAAAAAAAAAAAAAATGAGGGCAACAGTCATAAAGTTGCTTGGAAATATTGTGGTACCCACATATTAGAAAACTAATTTTATTATCTGAAAATCCTGATTGTCCTTCTAGTTAATCATTTGTGTCATGTGGAAAATCTAAAAGCTTTTTCAGGTGATGAAATTTGGTTGAAGGTCTTTCAAGGAATCTTAAAAAAAGTTCAAATTTACTGGGAATAACTTAACCAAATTTGCATAATAACTAGAGAGACAAAGAGAATTGCATTTCTTTTTATTTTTTATTTTTTTTAATCTTTCAAGTTTTTATTGAGATTCTGAACCTCATTAAATCTAAGCAAATCATTTTTGTTTCAAAATTTAATTTTTTAAATTTCAGTGTAAGAATATCGAAGATTTCACAGTGAAATCTGACAATTACTACCTTTTAATTTCACGTAAATATTCAGCTTGAACCGATTCCTTTCTCTCAGATTTCAAGAGTCATCTGATTATCCCAGATTCTCTGCAGCTTTCAAAGATGACATTTGCTTACAAAGATTGAATTGGGGACATTTTAACAAGCTTCTTGATTCCTGTCTTTTTCCTTACTTTTGCAAAGATGACTGCTTTTTGGAAATCACATTTGTTAAAGAATGGATATTTTCTCTTTTAGGTTTTCACAAAGGATGACTTACAAGAAATGTTGAAGCTTCTTCGTCAATCTGCTTTAATGTTGGTTAACAGGAAACAGGATCCATTTGGATATGAAGATCCAATGAGTTACGAGTTGGAAACACCAGCCACATAAAAATTAAAACTGTCATTCATCTCATTGTTTTTTGACTTTTTTTTTTCTTTTTAATTCATTTATCGTGAATTGTAGAAATAAAGATTTTTATTTTATTACGAGTTGAATACTAATTCTCTTTTCTCATAGACTAAAGCCTTGTATTTTTTTTTTTATTGGATGAAGAAGCATTATTGACTTATGTACAAGGTTAAACTAGGTCTATCCCAATTAGATGCAGGCCTTTCAGTTTCAAATAAGTGAACCCGTTGTGGTGTGTTGTTGTACGTTGTTTTTGGTTTGATTTTGTTTTCCTTAAAAAAACAAAAGCAAAAACAAGGGAGATATCCACATAGAAAGGGATGGCACTTGGTTTCACGTGTTTCATCTTTTATGACCTGTGATAAGTCTGTGAACTGGGGTCTTCAGGGCAATCACATACCTGACAGAATAACTAAGTCAAAACTTTTGAGGTCAAGACTGGATATCAAATCACTGTCAAGATTGTAGTAGTCAGTTCTAAACCACGCTTGGCAAAGGGACAGCTTGTCTGTCCAGGAAGTTATGATGCCAACCATTGCAGTTTCTAGCTGCATGTTGTGATTAGTTTGTAGGAGAAAGCATTAAAGAGAAGAGCTGATTTATTCAGCTGAGACCTAACAGAAGTTGTCCAAAGTGTCACCTACCTATCTAAATATCCAGACTGTAAAAATGAAGCCCTGAATTAAGCAACTAAATATATTGGGAACCAGGCTTGGATCTTCATTTCTCATTGTTGCATTTGTTTTTATCTTTCATTAACTTCTGTGCTTGTAATGAGCCTTTCCCAGTCTTTAGTACAGACAAGCACAGATGCGAATAGAGATGCAATGTTAACTCAACTCTCCAGGGTTTTCTTCACCTCTGCTGTAGCCATGGCCCAGTTGATAAAAGTGATGCTTGAACCCAATAACTTGACCCAAAGAGTTGGGAGTTCAATGCCTGGCAACAGCAGAGGTGGAGAAAAAACTTGATTTAAAAGGGAGATATCCAGGGAGGCATGGCACGTGGAACTAGAACAATCTACCTCAGTAGACGAAATAAAGGGTTTGGTTCAAAATTCCAATCACCTGAAGAATGCCTGAGTGTACAAAAGTTGAAACGATGTGAATATGGCAACAAAGACGACAAGTTTAAACAGTGTAAATAATTTTAATACCTCATCTCAAAAATATAGAGAGATACTAGTTTTAATATTTTTATCTTTAAACTCTAGAGACTGTCAGCTGAAACCCAACTCAAATAATGTTAGATACTTGTTGAAAGAATTCAGAAGGTAACAAATGCATCAAATAAAACTTCAGAAAACAGTTGGCAGGGACGGCCAGCGAATACCTTGGCTGAAATTTAAGGATCAAAATAACCAAGGTAACGATACTAGTCTGAATGATCCAGGAATAAATTTTATATTTTAAACCATTTAATAAGATAAACACCTTCCTTGATTTGTGAAGGACATTGTCTTGCAAATCTGTGGAATTTTGATGTTCCAGAGCCAAATTTGATTAGCTGTCTGCTATAATCAAATCTCATTAGGCTTGAGTTAATCATTAAAAACTGAACAAAAATTTTCTGATCTATTTATTGTACATTTATGCTGTCTTTCTAACAGACCATTAATACAAAAAGTAAAGAAAATGTCTGGGACAACTTTTGATCAAAACTCCAGGAGGGATTGCAAAAAAATAGACACATGCCGTCTTTTCTCTCCATTTTTTTCCTTTTTTTGCCTCCTTTAAATAAATATACCCTTGTACAAATTAATTGTAACAACTGCTTTAGTTTCCTTTCTTAAACCATACATTCAGTTTTAGACCCACTGGAATGACGGGATGTAATCGATTTCTATTTTTACCTCAGATTACGTCATTTGCAGTGGTGTACAGTAATATGAATCTATTTTTGGGGTGTATGATAAAATTTGTTTGACTTAGAAAAACATTGTGTCATCCATGATTGCATCAGATTTTTATCATGCCCAGACACTATTGTCTCCATTGATTAGTTGTCCTACAGCCATTGTCTGTGCTGGACGTTACTCAAAGGAAGCATACAAAAGTTGTAACAATGCACAAATACACTGGGAAGCCTTACCAGTGAGCAAATCAAAGTACTATCGACTAGCTCAGAAACTCTCCTGCCTCTTTTGTGTTACAAAGTAAAAACACGGTTTTGCTGAACTTTTCATATGGGACTGAAATTGGCATCTTTCTCTTCAAAGACCTCCTATCTTTACCAGCAGCCATTTTTGTCTTGTCTTGAAGTGCCTTTAAACTTAATTGAGAATTTATGGTCACTCTGCAAAGAACAACTTTGTGGTATGGACATACGAAGTGCTAACATGTGCACTGGGTCATGTTTCATTGAAAAAGTACCAAAAAAAAGAGTAAATAATAACAGGATTATTTGTTTTGTTTCAATTAATTTGCACAAGGGGGTGTGTGTGTGTGTGTGTGTCTATATGTGGTAATTTTTTTTTTTCTCTCAATCCTGTCTCCTTGCTAGTCATTCAAGTAATTCCTCAGACAGCAAGTAAATAGAAAATGATGTGTGTGTTTACATTCCCCCTAAAAAGGGAATATTGACATTGCAATAGGAAATTGATAATTACTGCCTAAAATAATGAGGCCTGTAAAGTAATCAAAACTTGTGTGCAAGAGAGAGAGAGAGAGAGAGAGAGAAACTAATGTTTAGTCTTTCAAAGGGCTTCCTGGTCAGGCTAAGAGCTTTACAACATTCGCTTACAGTTGGAATGTGGTTAATTAAACTAATTCACTTATAATTATTTGAAAGTATATAAATAGGTAGTAAATTTACATTGAGCTTGACAGTTGCCTTTAAGCAAATATTAATGATGCTTTTTTTTTTTTTTCTCATTTCAAATTCTTATCAATAAGGATAAAAAAAAAATATCTTTTTCGTTACAATGCCAACAGCAGCAACAGTCTTGCTTTGATATGTTGTATCCTTGAAGAATTTCTTTTTTTTTCATCAGGAAAAAGACTGAAAATAGACTCACCCCCGCAACAATCTATAGAAGTGATTTTAAAATGAATTTCTATAATATTGCCAAAATCTTTGACTTAAAATTTTCAAAATTGGCCTTTTGGTAACAGTCTCTAAAGACTTCTAACAGGCACACTGTTTCATTATTTGTTTGGTAAGTTTAGCCATCTCTTAGTTCAAAAGACTATAAGAGTGCAGCACCCAGTGAGAATCAAACTGGTTACACTTAGGAATTGGCCTGTGAAACAGGATTACAAAACCTTCAGTGTTAAGGTCATTAATAGAGTGAAGTGTAGATTTGTGATAATAAATCTGTTTACTGACTGAGCAACCCCTTTACCCTTATCTCGAAATCATTTGCCTACACCTGTGACTTTTTGAATATTAACTTTTCTTTTTTTTTTTTTTTTTTTTTTTTTAATTAAAATATTAGATTTCTCTTGATAAGGTGAAATATGCTTATTGCTTTTCTTGCTTGTGAATAGCATTCTTGTGTCTAAGGCCTGCGACAATAGAGCTTGTCAAAAAATGTAATTTTTTGATGATAAAGCAAATAACTGGTTGAATTGTAGAGTAAATGACCAAGGAAATTAACCAGTTAAGGATAGAATAAATTCAACAATGTCTAACAAAAATATAAAATTATCCTATCCATGATTGGATAGGAATGGCAGTCTTCTGAGAATTGTGCAAATGACTGGTTTCTGGCCAGAAATTCTCTGACAAAAATACTATTTTAAGATAATATTGAGATTCAAAATCACCCAATTCAGGCCAGGGGCAACAAAAATGTGGTTCTCCAGAAGGAAGCTGGCAATTACATGGACAAAATGGGTAAGCATCGAAAAAGTCTCTTAAAAAGAAAAAAAATAAATGACACTTATAGTGAAAATCAGAGAGAGACAGCTGAAATTTCTTGGGCATATAATGAGGAAGACTTGGAGAATTTGACAATCAATGCAAGAGGGTCAGAAGGAAGTCAGCCACTTACCTGACAAACTTGTGTGAATAAGGAGTATAAGGACAAATGTGGCTAAGGACTACAAGTGATAGGAAGTTGTGGAGAGCTGTGATCTACCTCCTGAAAGTACATGCCATGTAGAAGAAGCAGCAGGAAGTTGTTGTAGCCTACCACTATGATTGAGACTCACATAAATGAGGAAGGTGTGATTTTTATCTTGAACTCTTGTTTGCTTTATGGCCTGCAGATGAGATCTGTGAAGTCAGGTTTTCTAAGTTGCATCCACTTGACTGAACAAAGCAAACGAATAAATAAATTTGGGGTCAAGTGACAACAAAACCAGATTGATTTTTTATTGCTGCTCGATATTAACGGTCTGCTTAGGACTGAAGAGGCCGGTTCTGGTCTGTACTTGGAAGAGGACTGACTTTTCCTCAAGTCGTTCCGATGCCGCCTGTTCGTATTGCCAGCCACATGTCGTGATGTGCAGATGGAAAAGTGGATGGATTGATAAGTGGGAAAGGCTGAGTTAGATTGACATGGTAGAAGTTGCCCTAAGTGTCATCTTCCTACCCACCCAGACAACAAGCGAATCCCTGAATAAAACTCCTGAATATATAAGAAACAGGGTTTGAGTTATTTCTCACAATGACCGTTGTCTTCATCTTTCGTTTTCCTTGTGAGTGTACAGTGGGTCCTTCCCAGCTTTTGGTGCAGACCAGCGTGAAGAGCAATGGAGACACAAAGTGGGGTACTCAATTTCAGTGGAAAGCTGGGTAAGGATCCCGTTGCATAATTTGAGTAGACTGCATAAAAGGACGAAATGTACAACGTTATTGGGAAAGTCTCAAAGACTCTTGCAAGGAGTTGCGTAAATTTGGAAATGTGAAGAATAATAGAAAGTATCCAAGTGAATTTCTAAATTCCATGTGTCTCCAAGACGCAGATGATCGTCGCTCTCTACATTTTTCGTTTTCTTTAATATGTGGCACGTGGCCGAGTGGTTTGAACGTTC